ACTTGTTTAAATCTAGCAAAACAGAGGCTCATAATCACTATCGAGTACCAAAGAAAAGATTTTAGAGTGAAGAAGGAAGTCTCACCAGGGATTGCTAAAATCAGGAGCAGCCTCCAGTATGAGGTATGAGGATAGAACCCCCCCCTACCCTTAAGATAAAACAAGTTCTGTTCATAACAGAAATTGCAAGAAGTTGTTACCTTTGATAGCAGAGGAGAAACTTCATGCAGCCACAAAATCCCTGGTACTTCTGTGTTCTCAGCAGCAAACTTAAGCTGGAGGCTAAGAGTGAATGGGAACATTCACACTGTATTACAAAAAAGCCTACGTGTTCACAGAGTTTATGGACAGATAGGGGGTTTTTTTCCTCCAAAGGGGCCATAATCATGGTTGTTTAAGTAGTCTATTGGCAGGCAGATAAAAAACAGAAGTTATAAACATGTTTGGCTCACATCTGAATTCTTATGCAAGCAAACCAGAAGTCTGGATTTCTGAGCTGTCAAAAGTATACCTTAATTACTAGGATAGTAACTACATCTTTTGGGTAGGGGCACTCTTTGGTCACTCTTTCTGTAATGTGATGCTTTAGTTTAATAGTTAAAAACCTTAAATGAGACATGGCTTATTAGTTACAAATCCTTGTTCAAGGGATTTTTGTATATCAATTATTACTGCTGTAAAGCAGAAAAATCTTGGAGGGGAGAATCAAAACAGGTCATGCCGGGGTGCCTTAAAGCATAGTGATTAATCCCATATGCAAAGCTCTCCTGTAGTCAAAGTAAGCTTAAAGGATTCCACCTTCTGAGCAACTGTTGCAATCACTGAGCTCTGGAAGATACAGGAGCTAATGAGAAGCATGATATTATTATTTGAGTTTGGCAAATCTAACCCCTCCCTGGATTTCTATGCTACACATGAATAGCAAATAGCTATTTGCAAATTATTTTAAGATGACCGAAGCAATTTTTGATAGAGCTAATTGAATGATCCCTCAAAACAAATTCCTCCAGGTTATCTATTTGGTAATAATAGGGAGAGGAAAAATAAAATGGCCAAGAGTAAGAAAGCCACAAGTGAGTATCCATGAAGACCTTCATGACTCAATTAACCGTAATTACTATTTTTACATCGCTTTGTTCCAAGCCGGGAAAGACACTTGAAAACATTTGAATTAAGAAAAGCTAATGATGTGACAGCCCAGTTATGCTGGATGAAATTCATCCAGAAAAATTCCCATGGAGAAAATTTGACTGTTTCACAGTCACTAACAGCACAAATACATGCACTGTTAGTAAAAATGAACTAGTAGGATAAAATTCCATGAACACAGAACAATATGTTAAAAAAGTTTAACCTTCTGCCTTGTACTAAGCCAGTTTCTTCATACTGCTTTCCTGGACCTTCTCCAAAATTGTTTTCTACAATAGTTATGTGTAGACTTCAAAAAGGAAAAATTTAACTCCCAAAACTGTGTATAGGAAGAACACAGACAAGTTTTTTTCTCTTTGTTTCCGCATCACATATCCCAAAATAACTTTCTGTAGCAGATGCAGGACCACTAGGTAAGACAAACAGGATGGTAAGGAAGAAAATTTATTTTCTTTCTCATCTGCTTGTGTGCTGAAAGCTTTAATAAGCATTTAATAAAAATCTTAAATGTGATGGAGTAAGTTAAGGATGATCCTTGATTCTCCTCTCGGCTGCACAGGAAGAGATAAAGAACACAAATGTAAGCACATCCTTACATTATATTTTCAGAGCAGTCATAGATTATTAAAACTGATAAGTAAGATGTGCTTAAATGTGACCTAGCAGAGGTAAAGATCTTGTTTCCAAGTCAAATCACATACTTAAGACTCTTGTTCTGCACACAGCTCAGTCACCATATATCTGTTAAATTCTGTTTTCAAACCACTGGTATGAGGTACCCCAGAGACAATTTCCTCCCATCATCCCACAGACAAGCCTGTAGCACTAACTGTGGTGCTGCAGTGAAGAGAAGTTGCCTGTCTCATCTTATCATACCACCTCAACCCTCATAAATATTCTAGCTGACACACTAGGCAAAATTCCACATCACATCACTGTCAATGATGATGACACCCCAGATCTACTCCAGTATAAGCAGAATTTAGTCTACATTTATCTTAATGAAATCAATTCAGTATTCTCCTTTTTCTTTTTTTTTTCTTCAAAGAAATCTTCACCCAATTACGTAAATCTCTGCTTCTTCTGCATTCTGTATTGGCTGTCTAGTTTATTCAGGGACACTATCTATACCTGGAATTTTTTTAACTTCCAGGACAGATCTCTTACTGAAACTTTTTGATGGCCTCTGCATAGTCAATGTGTGAAGGTAAAAATTGTGATTTTCATTAAGATAGAACAGAATTGTTTGAATGACAAGCTGCTTCACAATGTAACTTGAACTCGGAAAGGATGAAAGAGATTCTCTTTCATCACGTGGTGGAACTCTCCCTATAACAGCAAATTTCCCCCAGGGGGTGAGCTGAGGGCCGAGTGGGAATTTTTTTTCCCTGAAAGATCATATAAGAATTGCTTTGAATTCAGATATTCATGTATTTGTCCAGGGGGAAAAAAACCTTCTGTAAAAATCTGACACATCTTTTACAGACCTGGAGATCTGCTTGTTGGAAGCAGTTATATGAGAAATAACTTGTGAAAAAAGAGTGTGACTCTACTTTAGATCCATAAAGAAAAGACACAGGACTTCAACAGTTATTACTAAAAGGCCAAAACTGAATTTGCATTTGCTACAATACTGAATGTAGGATGAGGGGGCCAGTGGCATGTTCCTTGCTGAGCCCACTTGTCTTCAGAGATTGTTTTCCCTTTGAAGGGCAAGAGTTAACACATAAAGTTGGGGCAGGGAACAAAGGAAGATGCTGTGGGTTTTCTATTGATTTACATTATGTAATCCAGTCTAAATTGAAAGGTTCATTTATTTCAAGATTGCATTCTGGGGAGACTAGGACCTTGACGTGTCTTTCCCTGTAGGACTTACATAAGCAAATGACAAAGAAAAGCATTCAGAGAAAACCTCATCTATAAGGATACATAAACCTAGGTCCGAAAAAACATTTAGGTCACAAATGAAACAAAGCTGGTAGTGTCCTCCAGTCCTGCACTTTTGAGCATATCACAGAACATGGCATAATTTATCTTCATCTGAATAACAGGAAAACTTAAGGCATTTAGACTTCTGAGAGAAGTTCATAGTGGTGAAAAAGCTGAAATATTAAACATTCAAAAAAGTGGTTCTATGCAAAATTTACCTCAAAAATAACAATTCACCTTTTATTATACATTAAAAGGTTACTCAACTTGATAGCTGAGCTATAATTAAAAATGTGGCCTCACTCAAATGCAAAATTCCAGTTTTCAAGATTATGTCTCGTCTGCTATTTCGACTGGTGATGTATTTTCTGTATGTGTTAGAATTAACTGTTTTTTCTTTAAATGACATTAATACTGAGACTAAGCTCCAGTAAAGATGATGTGAACTTGCCTTACTGGGTTTATTCCTCTCCAGTATGCTCTGTCCTAATTCTGTGCACACTAAATCCAGTTTCCTGCTCTTGCATTGAGTTACTTATGTGGTTTTCATTTGGGATAAGTTATTTTGAATATGATTATGCTGAGCACATCAAACCAATACATAGAGTTCCTAAAGTTTTCTCCATTTCTTGATTTCTATGTTATTCTGAGTGTCTAGCTCTTCAACTCCCCCTGTCAAAATCTGTCACATATGACTTTCATTTTTTCTTCGTCTGTTTTTCCTAATGGTCACTAGTTGACACTGTCCTCTTGGCTACTCTCTGTTGGAAGCATTGTCAAGGTTGATTTTTGAGTCACTCAGATAATAGTAGGTGTTTTGAAACTCCGTGAACACATTGTATCCATTACCCTTCAACATTTTGGAGCTTACTCCCAAGCCCAATGAATTCATCAAATGGAAACCCCCTACAGCACTCAGTAGAATTCCTTGTTCACTTGCGTTTCATGACTACATCCTTCATAAAATCTGATAAGATACAGTTGGTGCATTAGTCACCCCCTCCTACTGTAGAACATGTTTAGAAGCATGCTCACAAACCTCTCTCTTTAAGTAAGTGATTAATTTTAAGCAGATTTTTTTTTCCCTGTTCAATACTCAACCTGAAATATGCCATGGTTGCCAAGATAAGTTAATAATTTGACTATCTTCAGGTAGGTCTGGATCCAATCTCTGATAGCAACTATCTAAGCCCAGAAGGGAAATTTCCCACAGTAATGAAATTTTCTGAAAATTTCCCTTTATGTCTCTAACAGTAACAGCTGTTGTGGCTCTGCTGGCTTCTGTGCTCAGAATGTTCTCTGACTTAATGGTGCTTATAGCCACACCTGATTTTCACCTATGGTGATTTTTGGTTGCGTTATAGCCCCCAGCATAGGTACCAACAATATAGACACAGTATCTTTGCAGTGGTGAAATTACACTGAAAGAGAGAAGTTAGAAAGTGAAGACAGTCTGGGTCTTCTGCTGGATTTTTTTACAGTACTCAAGCATTCACAGTAGAGTCAGCCAAACACCTTGACTTCCTTTTAATTGATAATCTCTCTAATTTGCTTTGACATTTAGTCTAGGATTTTCAAAGCAGTTTGAAGTACCTATATAAGCTTAAATCAGTTTGTACTGCTGATTGTACTGTACCTCAGATTTGTACTGTACCTCAGACACCAACAAGAATCTCACTGTGACTACTTACAAACACCAAGGCACCTCTTGGTTTTCAGAGGGGTTGTTAGGATTTTGTAAGTACAATTAGTAATATGGAGCTTATCTGTCCCTCACATTATCATCAATAGACCTATTACTTGTGTTCAGCCAGTAAGAGTATAGATGTTAGAATGAATAGGAAGTCTGAAGAGGAAGTGTGAAAAATAGACTGAAGACAGCATAATGTTGATTGTAATCATTACGCTTCTATACAGAGAAGATGAAGAACTCTCTGCTCACAGCTGTCTTTTTACTTGCAACAAGTGAGTTTTCATACGCTGCACCACTTACTGCTGCTTATAAATAGTAAAAATGCTTAATGCTACTCAAAGATGAGGTTATACAAAAAAAAATCATGACCAAATTGCGGGTAGGAGAAACAACCACCGGTAACAATTTTTCCTAATTCTTTCACAGTTGTCTTGATAAACAATTTTTTTTTTTGTTTGTTTTTGCTCTCCAGATTCCTGCAGCTGCACGAGCTGGAACTCTTCGTTCTGCTGGCAGCTCCCAGGTGGGTAATGTCGCTCCCGCAGCCCCGGCGCGGTGACAGCGGCGGTGGCACCGCGGGGTCCGAACGGCCCCGCCCGGGTCCTGCCGCCGCCTGGAGGCCGCGGCCGCCTCTCCACACGGCCCCGAGGTTTCACCCCAAAACAACCGCCCGCGTTTTCTGAATGGAAAATCCGCCCCGGGGAGCACAGGCAGGTGTATCCCCGTGACGGTGGAGTGTTCGGGGTAACCGACACGCTGGGAGTGAATCCCACCCGGTGCGCCGGGAATAACCATGGCTTCAAAAGACCGCGGGACCTGTAATGTTTATGCGTGACAGATACTTATGCTTTCCATTTAACTGATAAATTACTGATCATGGAGAAAAGGACCAGTCCAATGCATTTCAATAGAGATTTTTACAAAGCAGTGGGTGCTCATCTGATGTAATTTGTGCTGTATTTAATAGAGTAGACAGGAACACCCTACTTGCTAACAGCGAGAGAGCATGATATTATTAATTACACTCTTGTAGCAGAGGTGATAGGTTTTTGAGTACACAGTGACTGTGGGCAAGACATCTTCAGGAGGAGCATGTTTTTTCTGAAATTAGCTATGGATAATTTTCTAATCCTTGCAACTAGCCATCCAGACTAAATTCCACTAAAGCATTACTGAGAACACAAGACATACAGGAAGAAAAACAGAACATTCTAGAGGGAAAAACAATTCAGGGCGTTGTTTTTTGCTTGATTTGTGGGTTTTGGGGTTTTGTGATTTTTGTTTGTTGTTGTTGTTGTTTGTTTGTTTTTGGGGGGGCTGTTTGTTCGGGGTTTTGCTTGTTTTTCTAATGAAGAAACTGATTTGTGTTTTCTTTAGATGAAAGAATTTTTTCTTTTTTTCTTTCTTTGCACAGCTCTTGGAGCACAGTCATGATACAGGACTAGCAGTATGCTAGGGCTAGGAAGAATTAATAATATACATGTTAAGTTAAAGCAGTACAGTAAAACAAAGACAGTATTAGAGTAAAACTAAATGTTCATGTGAACACTAATACCCACAAACAGGACAAGTGAAAATAAAATTGTGTAAGATTTCTTACGTTCATCTGGAGAAAGTAACTTAAAACTTCAGTATATTGGGATAGGGTGGTGCTGTGGGGTGTTAGTTGAGCTAATACACTATTTTCACACATAAAATCTACTATTATTTTTTTGTCTACTCTAATACTATAATCTTATGGAGAAAAACAGAGGGAGTTTGTAAAACTTAGAGCATGAGGAACAGTACAATCCCCTGTTGCTCTATGAGGAGAGATAGGTCTGCAACATTGTGGTCACCACTTGATTCTGAGGTAATAGAACTGTTATTTCAAATAGTTCCAGGAGCAGTATATTATCCATGTATTGACATGAAGGGTTGCAGAAGTTCCAAAAAGGTTTCATTTTCAGGTTTTTCTTCAAAACAAGAACAAAGAAACACCAATAAGGTGAAGGATTTAATTCAGAGCAAAACAGGAGAAGAATGTGAGAGCTGTTGCTGTTTTTCCCAGCATGTTGTTATAACACCATGTCCATGGGTGAGGAGGACAAGATGTGTTTTGGCAGCCACACTGAAAAAGCAAAGGTTTCAATAATTTTGCACATTGCTGTAGAAACAAGGAAGACCTGATCTCCACCTTCCTGAAAAGAAGCCATACATACCTGAACTGATATAGCATAACTTTACTAGAAAAGCACTATTCTTTTGGTATGAGAAGTGTCATAGAGTGAGGGTATTAAAGCCAGAGCTGTACTTATCTGACACACTTTTTGAACCAAAAGAACTTTTAACTTAAATATACATATGCCATCTCAATGATGAAAGGAATACGAAGGGTACTCAGTAACTCAAGTTGTGGGACGAAATTGCTCTGAATGAGGAAAAGAGGACTGGTGTTTTATCTCATAAGTCAGGTTGTAAGATACCATAACCATGCTGTAACAACAGCTCCAGACATATGCATATTTACTTATCAAATAAAAAAGCATTTCTTATTCAAGAGTGATAGGCTATTGGCGATTTTTTAAACCTAATAAGCATAAAGAACAACTGACTCTACTTATCAGGAAAAATTCATTTTTATCACCATAAGCATCCTGTACCTGTTAAGATCCTTATCTACTTTTCTGAACAACAACAACAAAAAATTCTGGGTCTTTTTTTTTAAAGTGGGGGTAGCACTTTGAGACATCATGGCTGATTCTTCTGAACTAGTAGTTCAGACAGCAGGACACAAAATAAAAGGACAACAATCATATTTTATCATTACCATCTCTGATAAGAGGCTTTTGAAAACCTGAAATAAACTTAACTGCTAGAGATCAAAAATTAGTCCTTTTAATAATGTCATCAGTGTTTAATTTCACTCCAGATGAAAAATGCATATGTTTAGTTGCAAAAAGCCTCATATTTCGCTTCCAAAAATTAATCACAAATAATTTTGCAGATTATGTTATGCTCCTCCTGTTTTGTAATGTGATCTTTATAAGGCTGGCAGTACGATAATAGTACTGTTTTTAGCCAGCATTTTTCTAAACTCCAGATAGACATGACTGATGGTTTTGAAGCCATTATGGGGTCTAGTCAACCAGTTATGGACTGGTTTGTATTTGGGTTTGTTTCTCATAGTCCCTTTGAGCTGGTTAATGGTAAAAACTGTTTACTATCATTGCCTGTGATGAGTCTTTTCCAGTGCATGTGTTTTCATCTTCCAGACTGGGACAATGAATTGGTGTGCTACAGAGAATTTAGTGAGGATCTAACCTGTACCTGGCTGCCAGTACCTAGTGCTCCTAATACAGTTAATTATACCATATTCTTAAAATGGTAAGTCTGAAGAATAATTTCAGAAAACAAAAAAATATTATTGCTGTTATATGATTCCCACTTGCCAGAGTTTTGCTCCACTGTTTTTCATCACATTGTAGGTTGTTACACAATACTGGTCAATATCTTTCTTTACATCTCCTCAATATCTATTGATTTGGTAAGAGCTTGGTAAGAGTGTGGTGCATTAACCCTGGCTAGACATCAGGTGCTCACCAAAGCTGCTCTATCCCTCTCCTGCTCAGCTGGACAGGGCAGAGAAAATATGAGAAAAGGCTCATGGGTTGAGATAAGGACAGGAAAAGATCACTCAGCAATTACCATCATGGGCCAAGCAGACTTGATCTGGGAAAAGGAATTTAGTTTATTAACAATCAAATCAGAGTAGAGTAATGAGAAATACAGATAAAACTTAAAACACCTCCCCCCCATGCTTTCCTTCTTACTGGGCTTTTCTCCTGAATTGTCTATCTCATCCACCAAGCAGTGTGGGGGGATGGAGAATGGGGGTTGTGGTCAGTTCATCACATGTTATGTCTGCCACTTCTTTCTACTCTCATTCTTACCCTAGTCCAGCAAGGGGATTCTCCCACAGGAGACAATCTTCCATGAACTGCTCTAGCATGAGTTCTTCACATGAGGCTGCAGTTCTTCCTGAACTGCTCCAGTGTGGGCCCTCCCATGGGGTGCAGCACTTCATGCACAGGCTGCACAGGCTGCACAGTCTGTACCCCCATGGAGTACAAGGCCTGACAGCAAACCTGCTCCAGCTTGGGCTCCTCTCTCCACAGGCCCACAGGTCCTGCTAGCAGCCTGCCCCAACACAGGGTCACAGCCTCCTTTAGGCACATCCGCCTGCTCCTGTGTGGGATCCTTTATGGGCTGCAGGTGGTGTGCTACTGTGGACCTCCATGAGCTGCAGGGGCACAGCTGCCTCACTATGGTGTTCACCACTGCTTGCAGTGGAATTGCTGCTCCGTTGCTTGGAGCACCTTCTCCCCTCCTTCTTCACTAACCTTGGTGTCTGCAGAGCTGCTGCTCTCACATATTCTCATTCCTCTCTCCTAGCTGCTGTTGTGCAGAACTTTTTTACCCCTTCTTAAATACATTATCCCAGAGGTGCTACCACACTGCTGATGGGCTCAGCCTTTGCCAGTAGCAGGTCCATTCTGGAGCCAGCTGGCGTTGGCTCTGGGGAAAGCTTATTGCAGCTTCTCACAGAAGCTACCCCTGTAGCTCCCTTCTACCAAAACCTTGCCATGCAAAACCAATACAAAGAGTAATTATACATCTTAACATGCTTCCAACACGCTGTTTAAAACATTATTGACAAAAATCAGCTTACTCAATCACCTTTGTTTGCCTATGGACTTGCTTTGAATATTCAACACTGATGCATTTAGAGTAAAAAAATGAACCAAACAAACAAAAAACCACCCAAACATAAACAGACACCAAGATTTTATTTTATGTATTATGTATTATGTTATAGCATGTATCCCAGGAGATGTCAGATGTGGCATACTTTCTCACCATTCTGAACTATCAAGTACTGGTTTAATAGATGGAATGAACTTGCAGGGTTAATCTTGAACTGATTACTCAAAATGTGGGCGTCTTCAATTGCAGCTGCATTACAAAATTAGATTTCCTCATTTTATATCTACATATTTGGGATCTCCCATGAGATTAGAAGTACGTTTAGAAATAGAGAACTTAGATCAGAAGACATGATCTTTGCCATGAGACCGTATCATGGAGTACAACACTGTCTGCCGTTGGCAAATTCTGATATTCATTGCTGATTATTTTGCCACATAACCCACCACTCATCATTAAAAGTGAGCTGTGGTTAGGAACATCTCCTAAATCTAAGAAAATGTCACTACACTGGGAAATTCCCCAGTGTGATCTTCTGCACATTGCAGAGTAGCAAAGCAACCACCTTAAGGCTGAGGTTACTCCCTTCCGTCACCTTCAGTATTTTCCCACTGAAGTAGCTGCAGGTGCCAACTTGCAATAAGCACCAAATCCCACTGTATTTGCTGTCTTGCCTCTTGGGACTTCAAGGAGCTCACATTTCTTGGAATGGCAGAAGCACTTGTGAATCAGCTCTGTTTCTGTAGAGATGTTATCTGCTGCAGTATTCGTAAACTAATCCCTCTTAAAGTCCTCAGTCAAAACCAGATTGTGCTGTTCCTAGGCTGCAGGGTTGATGTTATGAACAGAGAAGGCAGAAAAAAGAGTGAAAGAGTAGGTTGGCGGGGGGAAAAGGGAGGCAATTCCCTTGCAAAGATGTTGATTTTTCTAAGCCAGAATCAGGACTTTAAACTGAGTCTCCTAGGCTTCAAGTCAGTGGTCTTAAAGAAAAACTTCCTTTGTCCTCTTCTATTGTGTTAAAAGGAAAAAAAAAGAAAAAAAAAGAAAAAAAATTCCACATGTGAAAGGGCTTTTTTCTCACCGAGAAGACGACATGACTTCTTTCTGCATGTAATGTCAGTTTGACATTGTAATTGTTCCTTGCCTTTGCTCCTTATGATTTAGTTGTCAGGAAGAAAAAGATAAAAGAAAAACACTCCCACAGAAAAGTTTGAACCAAGAATTCAAAATCATGCTTTGAAATATTAATGGCTGATTCACAACTAGTCCAAAGCAGAAGCTAGGCAAAACTTCAAGTACTTTCGTTCAGTTATTAAATATTGCATCATGATCAGCACATTTAATACTCGAAATATGTAGCTAGGCAATTAGTATGCTGGCCCATTTCCTTGAGAACACTGAACTGGCACAGCTTTAACCTTGGAAAAAAATCTGTCCTGTGTGCAGCAGAGAGTGAATGAGAGAGAGAGAGAGAGAGAGAGATGGAGGAAAAAAATATGCAGCACTGTTGTATGTAAGGCATTAGACCTCTTAGGTACACTAGAAGAAGTCTAGAGGGCTGAGTCATGTGACATTTAAATATCTCGTCAAACTGGTGCTTTGCAGGAACAGAAGACAGAAGATAGGCTTGTGAGAGGTTTTTCATACATTTGTGGTAATTTACACTCATATAACTCAGAAATTTTGCTTTTCAAAAGGAATTTGGGTGCCCCTATGATGGGTGGGAAGGCTTTATGAAGTAATTTCCAACATAATTTTATTGCTTTGAAATGCTCTATATACCCCACTGTAAGTATAAATCTTTTAAGTACAGATCTTGTCTTGTATCATGCTACGCCTTACAAGTTTAAGGAATTTAACACACAACAAAGATTTGCATGTTTAAGTTTGCTACAGTTACTAGGGTGCTGGAATTACACTTGCTGTTTCAAGCGCTCATGCCTTACCTTCAAGGTTTCAAGATACAGAATTATGCGTATCATCATCGTGGCTAGGCTTCGCGAACAAAGATTATGCATATAGGTATCTGCAAAACTACCATTTGCTATAATGTTGCTTTCTGGGGGCAGAGGAGGAAAGAATAACTATAATCCAAAAAAATGTTTTCCATTCTGTTTCCTTTTCTCTGAAGGAACAAAATACGAAAACTTTTTCAACGAAACACATCATCCCCTTACATCACAATTGAACGAAAGAATCTCTACATTGAGCGATTTGCATACATTTGGATAGCAGTGAATTACGCTCATGCCAGCTGTGTAAAAGGAAGGAACATCTCAGTTTTACTAAGCAAAGCAGGTACAGCATCTTTACAAGTTATGTTTCTACAGCGCCCAGTTGAAGCAGTAGTCACATTTTCTTAAAAATTATTTCCAAAATTTCAACTCCCAATATATACTTGTTATTTTTATTGATTCAGGGACCTACCCTGCAGTTTGGCTTCCTCGAATCAAGTTAATAACAGAAGTCTATCAGCTTTTACAGGAGAGGGGTTTTACTTCAAAAATATGCTGGAATATAAAATAGTAATATCCAGAGAAATATATATAGTGATATTTGTGTACAGTACTTAACCAGCTTTCTGTGCTGTCTTTGATGGTTTTCTCAATTTCTTTATTGGTTTATAAAGAGTAGGCTGACTTAGTACTGTGCACTTAAGGAACCCTTGATATAGGGCATTAGAGTTTTGAGAAACCTTTTCAAAGTTCAACTCTTTTTGAAGGTCACTTACCCATTACACAGTGCTGCAGAGAAGATATGAAAAAAGAAGCCCTATTTACTATATCTTTTAGATGTTTATTAAAGATTCTCTACAGTATCTGGTTACTGAGATAATATTAAGAGCTTACCAAAACCTCACCTTCCCAGACTAATCATGGTCCAAGAAAAAACAGTGCTTCTCACTGCTGAGAGTTAGTACCAGTGAAACCCAAATTATCACTGTGACCTCTGCTGGACACTTTTGGCTACCTTGTGTTTATTGGAAAGAAAGACAAAAATTGCACTTACAATTATATAGCTAAATGCAGTTGCTGAAATTGAAAGATGTTCTGGTAATTTTTTATACAATTCACTAACACAGGTACTCTTGACATTTTGATTTTGCCTTTCAGCCTCTCTCAGAATAGTATCTGCTTAGAAAAAGGGTCCTCCTGAAATTAATAGAAGCATTCACAAAAGAAAAGCAAGAGGAAAAATGCTATTTTGTTGATACCATAACGATTTAGTAATTATTAATTTCCATCCTTTTTGAAGTCTTACAGTGTTCAGCATCAAGTCTTTTATTTTTTATAAACCACACCTGATAGACATAATTACCAATCCTGCTCCTCTTGCATTTATAACAGCTGCATATTGCCCATTTTAGGGAAGTGCTTGACACCATCTAACATAAATGCTCATCAGATCACAAACCAGTTGATAATAAAGTGGGACCCGCCCACAACCCCTACACCATATGAGCTGAGATACAGAGAGACGCTCACAGAATCCACTCAGTGGACGGTGGTAAGTACTTACAAATGAGAACCACATGAGAACATGAGGTGCCTCACTATCAGCTCGACAGCACATCCAGCAGGCCATCAGTGCTATGATACCAAAGAGCACGCAACATGGATAGCAAGGAGGTGAGGCAAGCACCACTTGTTGCTGATGCCCCTTGGGACTCTGAGCCATTGGCTGCTACCCTCTGGATGTGACCATTCAACCAATTCTTAATCCAACTAACATTACATCCATCGAATCCATCCTTCTCCAATTTGGGGAGAAGGATGTCGTGAGATACAAGATCAGTTCCAGCAGCATTTTAGAACATGCAATATGGTGCAGCAACAGGGTAGTACCTAAAACTGAAGGCACTAAGTAAGAGATGGAAAAACAGTCATCATTTCAATAATATCTGCATGTAGTAGCAATGACTGCTTATCCTGTTCGTTGCCATCCAGAATATCATGCAAAAGCTTTGCAAGCAGGCAGGCACGTATGCATGATTTGCATCACTGAGTCCCTGAAATTGTCTGTTTTTCAAGTTCTGTTATTTTTATTTGTATGAAGAATATGTGTTTACCAGCTAGAACAAAACCCCAGCTAGAAGAATGTTTAAACAGCAACAGTTCCAACTTCTTGGGCATCTCTGCTCGTCTAGGAGCCTCTTTCCTTCCTCTTTACTACAAGAATCTCGTTCTTCCTTTTATTTCAGAAGACTCTTCCCATTTTTCTCATAGCTGACTGCCAGTTTGTTTGGCCACTTCAGGATTACTGTGAGAGGCCCATGTGAGAAAGTTTTCACCCTGGTACAGAGAACGTGCAGGTCTTGGAAGGGTCCCCTTGTTCACTGGCATACAAGTCCTAGACCATTCTAGGACAGACAGTTACCCAAACATAACCCACCCAGGAGTGCAATAGATAGATAACTATGTGCAGATGGTCTGCTACATGATGTGTGGAAGAACAGAGGGTTAAGAACAGTACAAATGCATGTCCTACAGGCTCTGGAGACAGGGTAGATTAGGAGATTCATGTGCATACTGTGAAGGACTGGTAGATAAGGTCACAGTGGGTGATTTGAATGACTAAACACTACAGGTCATAAATATTCATTATCTCCCATGTCCCATCTGATACCACTAATTTAGGCTGTAATCTCCTCCTAATCATCTGAATGTAGACGACACTTGCAAATGGGGCTGGAGGGAAAGGGTGAGTGTGGATGTAAAAACACAGAGTATATATAAAGCTAGAAAAGAAATAGTGTTTATCAAGAGTAGGATTAATGTACATATAATGTAATTTAACACTTGGATCCATTCTGCTTCCCTCTTCTTCTGTAGGAGATTTGGATTCTTTCTGTAATATTGTGTGTAGTGGTATTTTTTCATGACCAAGCTTGTTCTGCTAGCAAAACTATACGAAGTCGTCACGGGTGGAATAATACACTTCATTCTTAAGAAAGAAGGAGCAATACATTTATTGACATAAAACAGAAATCTAGCAAAATTTCGTAGTAAGTGTGACAGCAGTTTCATAAGAGTAAATGGCAAGGAACATTTAATTACTGCATATAGTCAGATAGAACTGTCAGGGAGACATTTTAACTGGGTCATGATGCTCAGAAAGGCTCCCCTTGCATTCTAAAATTATTCTCAGAGCCCCAGGAGTTTAGTAGCTTCAGGATCCAGACTTAGTCCCAGGTCTAGTCAACAGTTTAAGCCTAAAGTATTATATATGCACAATCAAATCTTTATATCACTTAAATGAGATTTCAAAGTTTCAGTGCAGTAATTTCCAATTCACTTATCAAGTATCTGATGGGATAAGTATTTTCCCAGTCTTGAGGAGTAATCTTGAGAGGTGTCCCTACTCAAGAGATCCTGGTGTGCACCCCCACTGCTGTGCAGGAAAGCTCAACAGGCCTTTGGCTGTCCACCATTTAAGGGGTAAGATGATTCACTTTTAGACTTATTTGCATATTCACTTCAGATATTAGTTTCTTCCAAACTTGACTTGGGTCGAACCTTAACCAGCACTATGATTAGGTGGACGAATTGTTCAAATTAGCCTTGGCTGTTGTGTTGCTATCTGTCTTCCTCGAATCAACCTCAAGCTAGATGCAACCATCACGACCAGGCACACCCATTATGACAGCTGGTGGTGGTTATCACTTGAGCAGGGTTACAGGAAATAAAGGTCAGGCTGGAGGTGGGGGGTGAGCATACTGCCACAGAGGTTAATTAATTAACTTTAATAAAAAAATAAAACATTGCAGAAATTTAAATGGAAGAGCTAGTCACCTTCTACCGGGGCTTCGTTGGTTTTAGGTTTTTTTTGTTTGATTGGTTGGGTTTTGGGGTTTTTTTTAGGGAATATATATAATTAAGAAAACAAAGGTTACAACAAACAAATGCTAACACAGATATTTCAATCTGCAATAGTACTTCTACAAAAAACACAATGCCTGGAACTGACCAGACAAAAGGTCTATTAATGCAGGATACTGTGTCTGATAGCAACCACCAGTGGACATCTGGTAAAGAGTGTAAAATAAGCATTTAACAACAATTTTTCATCATATTTTCTCCTAGTTTCCAGCTCAGAGATTTCCTTAGACACGGGTGGCATCTTTGTTTCAAGAAAAATTCCATTCCCTGTACAGTTACTGGAGCACCAGTGCTATCATCAGCTGCAGATGCAGATTACTTCTGCTATGCTAAGGCATAGGCAGGCACACATTCAGTCCAGTCATGATCTTTACCACATCAGTCACATGGATCTATTTAGACATACTGTTACTTCTGAGAATAAGGTGATTTTTTTTATATTTAATTTTCCCTTGACATCTTGTTCTCGAGAATGCCAACCAGGCTCAGAGTTAAATAAATTATTATTTTTCAGTATATATCATGTCTAATTGATTTTAAAAACAGTATTTAGATCCATGTGGTTGCTTACTGTCCTGACTGAGCAAAACAAGTTCATGAAAAAGAGAGTATTGCTTTGAAAGAATGAAAACACCTTGGCTAGAATGTACAGTAATTCCTATTTGACGGCAGGAATACCTACTTTCAGCTGCAGTCAAAGAAGGCTGGTCCTTGGCTGAGAAAACAATTAATATAAGATTATATTTTATTGATGCCACATAAATTAAACTTTTTTTTTAGGTGCCTGTAGAAAGCAATGCTGTCAATATCACCATTTTGAATTTAAATGCTGCGTCTTCATACATCGTTCAGCTCAGATGCATAGCCAACGGAGGTTTGAACTGTGTTTGTGTTTGGAGCAAAGAGATTTTTGTCCCTCACAGTAAGTGAACTGTAGCTTTACCCTACTGGGAATAAGCACAAATGTAAAATCCTTTACAAACCTTGTGTCATATGAAATAGCATTTTCAGATACTGTTGAAAATATGAACATCAGAATGATTCATATGAGTGCATGTCTCCATCTTTTTCCACATTTACTAGAACTCATGAATAAGCCAAGAATATCATATAATGTAACTACGCAAATCTCTCCAGGAAGAAGAAGTGTTCTTCTGAAGTGGGAGGTAATGTTCGAGTCTCAGTACCCTCTGTTGTGTACATGCTATTAATTTATTACCTTATAGGGAAAACCAGAATTTCCCATTCTGTTGAGACTACACTCTATATGCAAAAGGCATTGGATATTGTACATTTGCTTCCAAAGTCCCTGCATTTGTATGCTGATGATTTAGGTGCTAGAAAATAGCAAGACAAAAATACATCAAATTATAAAATTGAAAAATTATTAAATCTCTCATTCATATCTTGGGAAAAACATCTATTTTCAAGACCTTCCACCTTTATCAGAAATTCCTCTTAAGACATGTGCCTTTTAAATTAATAAATGTCTTCCTGTCTATGTTACTCCAAAAGTGCCCAATTATTTCATTAAGATAACCCAATCTTACAGTTTTGTGGTATCTACACACTATTAATTTTGCACCAGAAAGAACAGACAAACTTGATATCAGAAATAATCCTTGCAGAATTCACAGGTCTTCATGTATTGAGTTAAGTTGCTATCTATATTGTAGTAGTTTCCATTTCTGTGCACTCGTTTTCCAATCTCTCATTAATATCAGTACAGTAAAATAATGAGTGAACCACCACCAGAACTACCCAGAAATTGGATATTTAACATGTTCCAAATTTGTAGTGTAATTACTAGCATTTCTCTTTAAAGAGACCAGATACCTAATCAAGCCCAAGTAGATGAAGATTCCCAGAGGCATAAATTTCAATTAAACACCTTTCATTAACTTTTAAGTTCCTAATAATGAGGGATATGTTCCAGTGAAATGTAGAGAACGTTACAGCTGCTTCACTATTGTTATTACTAATTGGATACACACTACTAAGATCTCAATTAAGGGAAATTTTTATTCCCTTGCTTAAATCCTCTCAATTTAAGCATGCTCTTAATTTTAAGGAAATGGTTTGCTTAATTGATTCCTAATGACCTAATTAAAACAGTATGATTTTATCCTCATCATTAGAAGTTATATTTTGTCTATACAATAAATTCCTCTTGATTTTCTGCACGGGGCATAACAACATTTATAGAATAACAATCTTTTTCCTCTTGCTAGGTAACACAAAGTGAGAACATCCTTGGATATTTTGTTAATGTGGAAAGAATACCCAACAGTTGCAGTGACTCACCAAATCGCATCTTTCTCAATGACAGAAAAATTCTTCTAAATCTCTCCATGGCTTACTATAGAGTTAATATTTCTGCCCATAATGAAGCAGGAGAATCTCCACAAGCCATCTACATTGTCCCAGAATTCTCTGCAATAGGTACTTACCTTATCAATCTTTCACTAGAGTGGTCGTGAAGTTTTATGAGAATGGAATAGGTTAAAGCATTCTCTTGAATATTTTTTTAGGCTCATATTTTTACATAGTGAGAGTCAGTATTGTTTCTTAAGAAAGGATTTCAATAGAAGTTAACAGACTAAGCAATTTAATATTCAGTTTAGCACTTGTGCTTTCTCAAGCTGCAGAAATTACTATGTGCTGCATCTGCCCAGCAAAATGCTCTATGAACTGTTCTCAACATTAAGTACGTGCCAATGGTTTAAAAAAAGTTCACAGAACTATGTGTAAATCTAAGTTTTTTGAATTAACTAACTATTAGGACACCTGCTACTGTCTTTTATTTCAGTATTACTCTAACAGGCACATGGGACAAGGAACAGATGGGATGTACTTGTCATATTTTAACAAAGAGCAAGGTTTTATGATGCCTACATGTACAGTTTTTTCATTTAAACAATAGAACTATTTAACAATGTTTTGCTTATAATTAAGCTAGTTTCATGTGTTACAATCTTGAGCTATAGTTATTGCAATATTAGAAAACCTCTCTTTTCCACAGTAAGATTTTCTTTTTTTTTAATTAAGCTATAGCATTCACAAGTGAAGATGTGTGTAAGTACCCTTGTTGATCTTCTGATATCTGCAACTGATTGCTTTTCCAGGATTTTCTAACACACTCCCCTCATTCTGTTCTCCTTTTCCCTGCAAAGAGGTAACAACTTGATTTTTCCCTTACATTTCAGTCCTTTAGCTCTTTTCTGATGAAATATGTACTACCACCTCAAGCGACCTTTTGACTGACAATCAGTTGTCTACTGAATCTCTCAGCCTGTTTTCATGGCTCTCTCCAGACATCTGTTTCCCTTTGGCTGCATTTCTATGCAGGTTCTCTGTATCTGTCGTGAATTACTGGGAAGATATTTGCATAAAGTACAAATTCCTTCTCAGCATACCCAACTTTTGCTTAGCTAGTACAACCATTTTCTTTAATTTGCCTTTATTATATTGGTTTCCTGACAGGAGATAAAATGGAGAATTTTTATGTCTATCACTTCTTACCCCAAAATGGCAGGTTGTTCTTCTCCCTCATTAGTACCAGTCAGAAGGTCTTTCCTAGTTTAGTAGTCTATCTCTTAAAATGTCAAAATGCTTAAAATCCTTTCAGAATATGCAAAGTGTATGAAATTTGTATGATATATCTGACATTAGCCAGTTCTCCTCCTCTCCTGCCCAGGCAAGAACTATCTCATAGTTGCTCTGTGTATAGGACTTACAGGCTCACGGGAGGTTATTTAGCAACACCAAGCTTCCTCTTCCTGAGGCTTGGAACAGCCATTTAATTTCTGACAATTGGAAACAAGGAAAAGTCATGAACAGCAGTCAACACTGGAGCCACCAGACACTTGCAAAGTACTAAATGCTAAGTTTTCTGTGTTGAGTTACTAGGAGAAACCTTACTAAGATAAGCAAGGTAAGTCACTTGCAACGATAACTACTTAATGAATAATCTTCAAAAAAGAGCAAATGGTAGAAAGCAAGCAACAGAGGAGAAATCTGCTTTGCTGTTTATTGATCTCTAATTGTATGTTTGTTCACAGACTTACCTGGCCAAATTCATGTCAAACGCCAGGGAACTAATGCCATTGTCACCTGGACTCCAGAATATAATCCAAAATGTTTTGTGGTTGATTGGGGCACTGGTAAAGAGGATATGCACATGAAAATAATAACTACAGCTACTGGAAATTTCACGCTAGGTAACAACAACCAGTGCATCTCCTGTGGAGGCACCCTTTCATTTATTGATTATTTTTGGTTGGGAACAGTAGGATTTTCCTTCTGTTTTCAAGGGCAAACTGAAGATCCATCCACATAAGTGCAATTTTTAATCTTTGTCCGGTGCTGAGACATTATTTAATTTTTAGCAACACCACAGCAGATAAAAAGCAAAGCTTTCAGTAGGATTCTTCTGGTCGCAGTTGGGCAAGAAATGCAGCTAAACTGCTACTGCTGGTACAATGTCTCTCCTTGCCCACATTCAAGGCAGACCACTGGCTTTAAAAAAACTTCTATCTTGTGCCTAGATAAGCTAATCTTTAAACGTAAACTGCTCTGTTACAGTCTCCCTAAGATTAATTTCTTTTTTTATCACAATGGCTATATTTATCAAAGCCTAAGTTCTCAGCTCCCGTATTCTGCTTACCAAGCTAGGCACGATGCAGTCAGGGATCACTTTTTGGGATAGACATTGAATATCTTGATTAAAGTCATGTAAGTGACTCTTGCAAAGGCCATTCAAGACAGGTTTACTTGTACAACAGAGAACATTTAGCTTCAGAGTTCTATAAACAAATGCACCTTTTCCTTGGTCCTTCTGCAACATCTACTTATTTTGCTTGTTTTTTTATATGCTAGCTGAGTGGAAAGTGTCTATGCTTGAACTAAGGTGTCTATAACCATTTTAGTTCCTAATTTGTCCTTTGGCAGCTAATGCCTTCCAGAGGGAGACTATAAACAGATCTGCCACCTTTTAAAAGAAAACCCATGTTATGTGTTGTCCTACTTTTGAAAAATTTGCATTAAGCATCTAGAGACGTTGAAGACGGATTTACACATTTTGTATTCAGTGCAAAGCACTATAAACTTATACTATACTATGTCGCAGAAAGTAAGAATTATTCAGAAAAACTCTAAAGCTATAGTTTCTCTCCTCTATAATTTTTAACTTTTCAGTAAACCCTGATGCACATTTATTTGTTTTCCAGATAATTTTCAGCCTTATAAGCTGTACAAAATAGTGGTACATGCGTCTGATGTGTGTCGGTGTGAAAGTTTCATAAGGCATGAAAAGACTTTTGGAGTGACGCACTTTTACTTTGTGGAAGGAGGTATTCCTCCCCTTTGTATAACCTCATTCTTCGTATTTCTTCTCATTCCTATCTGCAGCCATAGGCTACACAAAATTTCTTTTCCAGGGACTGAACAGTATTCTTCAGTTAGCATTGCGTTTGGTCTTAGCAGTTGTGCCCTGGCAGTGAATGACCTGAATGCTGTTCCTCCCTGAAAGGTGCACAGAAATATTTTTATTATACATCATACTACCAAAAATAACAGAAAGAGAGGCTCAGCTTTGCTACTCCATGTAGCTCAGTTTTCAGCGGTGGTGGAAGTCAGATTTTCCAATCCCAGTTTGGTAGTGTCTCATATTGCAAGACAAAATGAGTACAGCTGTGGCTCTTGGAGTAAAATCTTTGTAAGACAGTCACAATTCCTACTACTTTTGTATTTTTTAAGATGAGTTTCTTTTATTCTATGGGATTTCTTCTTTCTCTTGCACTCTTTAAATAGCATCTAGAATCTGGCAAGGAACTCCCTAGGAAGCAGCTAGGTTTCAGTATTGTATGTCTATTGCAAAAGTATTGATGCAGAACTAAAATAATTATCTGGGGTTTTTAAGTTCCTAGGACAGGTCCCACTAATGTGACAATTCTAAATATCACCAAGCATTCTGCACTTGTGAAGTGGAATGAAATAGCTGCTGAAGACCGTTTGGGCTTTCTCCGGGGATACAGAATCAGCTACACAGATTCATCAAGGAAAAAGTCTCTGGGTAAGTCACCATTGCTCAGAACAAGGCAGCAGGTCAGAGCCATGAAAGAAAAGCTTCATTCAGACCGTTAGCTGTGGCTACAGCACATACTGAGTTACTTAAGATTTCTGTGCAAATCGAGTGCTCTCAAAGATCAGCTCCTGGTTACATCTTTAATGCTCTAGATGCTCCCATGAATACTTGGAATTTTCTAGATATTATCTCAAATTAAATATTGCTGTTTCCTTAAGAATTACATTTCTAAGACTACTGCAGAATTCTCTAGCAACACTTAAAGGAAGACAACATTTTCAGTGTTTCTGAAGTACTAAGATTTTAGTCACAATACTTTTATATTTCATTGCAACTCATCCAAGATTGAGTATAAACCTTTTTGTAGGACTTAAGACATTATATATTTAATTTTTCAACTTAATTAGCAGCTTGTATTTTTTACCTGTTTCTAAAGACACTATTATTAATTTACTTCTAGAAACATTTTCTTAAATTGATAGCTTTTGTGTTTAATTTTGGACTTGATGACCTAAAAGTCTTTTCCAACCTTAGCAAACTACAAATTATGAAATTTCTACACATTGAAATAAATGAATAGTTCTGAATTCAAACCATTTGAGTTTTCAACAAAAAAAGATCCCCATCTGAGGTGTTGTTTAAGACACGAACCCCGTTGGTGACACAACCAAGTGCCAGGGCAGAATTGATGTTTAAATACAGTGCTTAAACATGTCACATGATCTTTCAACCAATGACAATGAAGTATTGATTGAGCATGCGTGAGAACCCAGAAAACTACAACTCCCATGATCCCTTGCCACACCCATACTTCTTTTGATAAATATTTTCCTTCTGGTCTGTAGTGGAAAGTCTCCTTGCAATAAGTAATAATACATTAACTTTGCAAGTACTGACTTTCAAATAAAATTGTACACATGTTAGGGAAGACAAATAGCATCTAAGACCTGACAAAGGAGTATAGCAAGGGTTCTATAATTCATGTTGACCTATGCCTTTACAGAATGATAGAAAGTCTTCTGAGGGCTCTTTTCTACCCCAAATGCCTATCCGAAAGCACAACAGGCAACAGAATGGGAACATCCAGGACTGAACTTGTTTCTTTCTTTTTTCCTCTGCCCTAATCAGTCAATACAACAGTGACATGATACCCAATTGCCATGTTTTCCAGGAAGGAAGTACAATCTTATTAAAGAATGTAGGGGAAGGAAGTCTGTAGGCTACAGTCCACACACACTTCTGTGAAGATCTTAAATCCACAGTGGCAGACTTGAAAAGTAATTTCTGCCCTACCAAAGGCATACTACAGCATACTACAGTTGGTTGCGCATTATTCTGGACAGGGGACCATCAGAAAAGATCTGAACACTCCACAAAGCAGATGAAGCAGAATGCACAGCTCATCATTCACACACATGAATGATGAGTAATAGCACAAGTCAAGGTGAACAACTACTGACCACTGAAGTGAAGGTAAAGCACATGATAGGGCCTAATCCTCATGTTCACTGTTACAGTCAACATAAAACAACTGTTCAGCATGTTGGATATATTTTCCTCTTGTGAAGTATACACAGCCTTCTGCATTCATCACCTGTGGTGGTTTGACCCCGGCTGGATGTCGGTGCCCATCAGAGCCACTCAGTCACTCCCCTCCATAACTGGACAGGGGAGGAAAATGTAATGAAAGGCTCATAAGCTGAGATAGGGACTGGGAGAGATCTCAAATAGATTACAGTCACAGGCAAAGCAGACTCAGCTCGGAGAAACTAATTGAATTTATTTCCAATTAAATTCAGAGCAGGATAATGAGAAATAAAACAAACCTTTAAAACACTTTCCCCCATCACTCTCTCTTTCCAAGGCTCTGGGCCCTACCCCACAGTGGTGCAGAGAGATGGGGAGTAGGGTTACAATCAGTTCATCGCAGGTTGTTTCTGCCACTGCTCAGGGAGAGGTGTCCTTCCCTTGCTCCAGTGTCCCTCCCATGGGAGACAGTTCTCCATGAACTTCTCCAGAGTGAGTCCTTCCCATGGGCTACAGTTCTTCAGAAGTGCTCCATTGTGGGTATCTTTCCACAGGGTACAATCTTTCAAGAACAGGCTGCTCCAGTGTGGGTCCCCCACAGGGTCACGAATTCTACCAAGAAACCTGCTCCAGTGTGGGCTCCTCTCTCCACAGGTCTGCATGTCCCTGCCAAGAGCCTGCTTCAGCATAGGCTTCCCACAGGGTAGCAGCACCTTTTCGGGCATCCACTTGCTCCAGCATGGATGTCCTCCGTGGGTTGCAGGTGGACTTCTGCACCCCCATTGACCTCCATGGTCCCCATGATCGGCACCGCAGGCTGTGTAGAGGAATCTCAACCCCAGTGACTGCAGCACCTCCTCCCCCCTCCTTTACCACTGGCCTTGGTGTTTACAGAGCTGCTGCTCCCACATACTCTCATTCCTCTCTTCTTTGGCTGCAATTATATCTGTATAATAACTTCTTTTCCTTATTAAATTTGTTATCACAGAGGTGTTATTATCATTTCTGATTGGCTTGGCTTTGGCCAGTTGTGGTGCCGTCCTGGAGAACATTGGGGAACCTTCTAGCAGCTTGTCACAGAAGCCATCCCTATAGCCCCCCTGCTACTAAATGCAGTACATCCTTAGTGTGTTAAAAGCTCATGCTTTTTACCTCTGGATTTAAAACGTATATAAATATTTTTGAGAAATCTTGTACCATCCAAACAACATTTGCACCATGTGGATTCCTCCAGATGTGGATTAGGGCACTGAAATTATGCCTTTTCCCCAGTCAGCTGCACTGATACACGCTCAGCCACTAGAGTTCATCTAATCATCTCCTCCCCCAACCTTTCTTGCATTTCAGCTGTTACTCTCAATTCTTCTACCACAAGTTACCATCTTACTGGACTGAAGGAAAAAACCGTCTATCGTGTGCAGATTTCAGGATTCACTGATGCTGGAGAAGGACCTCTGACTCTATCACAACCTTTCAGCACTCCAAAATATGGTACTGTGGAACCTCTGTGCAACTGCATTACATAGCATGAATCCTTTCTTTATGCTCTCTATATGCCCTTGTTCTATCTCTTCCTGCTTTTCAAGTAGTCACAGACTGCTCATGCACAAGAGTTATTATTCAATCTTGGTTACTGAGAGCAAACACACAAAATTTTTCCTCTGTTTAAGGTAAACTACGCATCACAGAACAATTCTGCCTGTATTTTACTACCTAGCAGACAGGGAAGACTTAGCTAGGGTTCCTCATCTCTGAAACCTTTTCTGACATTTTTATGCTAGCTACATGCACATATCTTTATTTATTGACGATTCCTGTCATAGATTTCAGCAGTTTAGATTTCTGCCTGTGACTAGTAAAATTTAATAGTCTTTGCTCTTGGCAAAATCCTGAGCAATTACATAAAACTGGCCATTAAACTGTAAAAATAAAAAATTAAGTACCTTTCAATTGCTCACTATTGTGGGTGACAGTCAATCAAAGTATCGTTTGTTTTCTAATAATTTAAGTATATTCTAAGTAACAGATTCTTTAGTTTGCTGGCAAAAATTTGTTTTTCTCAAGGGTGCCTGGATAGGCTAAGAAGATCAACAGAGTTACATTTCTAAAGCCTCAAATACTGTAATTATATAGGGTTGGCTGAACATAGTCTTTCAAACATTTTTAACACCCCATCAGTGAAACTAAAACTAACACTGCACTAGACTCTTTTTCCTTTGTTTGACCACAACTTCACTTAATTGAAGCTTTCTAAATAGAAAAGAACAGGCTAAGATGGTATCAGTAACCTGTGAAATTCAGAGACAGAAGTATGCAAATGGTTTCTCCCCACAACAGCTTTTTTTGTACTAAGTGAAGAAGTTATAAATACAAACAAATGAATAGTCAAAAGTGTGATGCAGAAAGAAAAAGGAAAGAAACTTAAAATCTTCCTTGAAATCAACAGGATTTGTGCCCCCTTCTCCCCCACATTGAAATACTTTCTCCTGTCAATGCAAAATATTACAGTATCTCCCTGGAGTTTTTCTGCAGGACTTTATTCCACTTATCCTACCAAATATATATTTGGAGAGGATTCAATTTTTCAGTAAAGTAGCAAAACTGCAGAGTGAAATTAATGCAGCATTTTAAAAATTCAAATAATTACACTAAGTTTAAACATTACATTTAGTATTTCTACATATAGGTAGCACTACAAAATAGCAATTAAATTTGTAAATCTGTAGTAGTACTGAACACCTTGAACTGAGATAAAGTGTCCCAGAGATTCCCTCATTTGCCTGTTTATTTGTAAGGAAAGACTCAACAGACAGCCAAACACCCATCTTCACAGGAGTCAGCAAGAAGATTGAGGAACTCAACAGCCTCAGTCTTCGCCTCAAACCACGGCTTAAACAAAGATAAAGTACTCTAGTGGAGTTTAGATTTAATTTCCAAACAGGAAAACACTGAAGTCAACACCAGGGCAGAGTTATAGTCTACTTAAACTCTCAGCCTCTCTCACAGCTGTGTTGAGGCTTTTTTTTTTCTTATGGAGATGAGATACTGTATGTAATAGCTTCCAGAAAAAGCTAAACTCAAAACAATCAGGAAAGAGAAGGAGCTGTGTTGTCCCCTGTAGAGTCTTTTGCAGGCCACTAGTGCCATTTCACAGGAGCTGAGCGCAGCAGTATCTTGCTCTTTATTTGAATCAAAGCAAACTTCTAAGTAAAAGCCTAGGAGGTTGGAGAGATGGGCAGAGAAGAACTGCCTGAAATTCAACAATCCTGCACCTGGAGAGGAATATCCCCCTGCACCAGCACAAGCTGGGGCTGACCTGCTGGGAAACAGCTCTGTGGGGGAGGACAAGGGGGCCCTTGTGGAAAACAAGCTGCCCATGAGGTGGCAGTGGGGCCTTATGGCCAGGAAGGCAAATGGTGTCCTGGGGTGCATTACGAAGAGCATTTCCAGCAGGTCAAGGGAGCTGATCCTGCCCCTCTACTCAGCCTTGGTGAGGCTTCACCTGGAGTGCTGTGTCCAGTTCTGGGCTCCTCAGGACAAGAAAGACATGGAACTCCTGGAGTGGATCCAGCAGAGGGCTGTGAAGGTGACTGGAGGACTAGAGCACCTCACTAGTGAGGAAAGTGGAAAGAGCTGAGCCTCTTTACTCTGGAGAAGAGACAACAGAGAGGGGATCTTTAATGTATAATTTAAGAAGACCTTAAATGTATACAAATATCTTAATAGCAAGTGTCAAGAGGATGGGGTTGGACTATTTTCAGTGACGCCCAGCAACAAAACAAGGGGCAATAGGCAAAAACTGAAAAACTGAATTTCCACATGATCATGAGGAAGAACTTCTTTATCATGAGGGTGACAGAGCACTGGAATGGGCTGCCCAGAGAGGCTCGGGAGTCTCCTTCCCAGGAGATATTCAAAACCTGCCTGGCTGTAATCATGTGCAACCTGCTCTAGGTGAACCTGCTGTAGCAGGGGGTTGGACTAGATGATATTCAGAGGTCCCTTCCAATCCCAAGCATTCTGTAACTCCGTGGTACCTAGATATCTTAAAAATACAAACCTGAAAGCCTCACACTCTACCCCACAATGCCAGGTCTAGTTTTTACAAGATTTTACTTACAGGCATTCAAGAACATGTGTAAAGTTTGCCCTGACTTCTGTTTGAAATATTTCTCCCATGGAGGTAATATGGCCTTTCTGTACTTGACAACTCAAGTCTGATTCAAGCTTTCTGTTTCTCATCAGATAAAGGATTTGAAGGTTTTGTGATTGGCCTTTTCTTCAGCATTACATTCATTCTGGTTTTTGCACCTCTCACTTGTTCTCTGGTGCTTCAAAGGTAAGAAGGGAATATTGACTGAAGTTTTTAGCAGCACTCTTGTTTTGCTTAATTCTGAGTTTCATAGCACTGGGCCTTTTTTGTCATTAAAAGCAACACAACTCAAAAAGCGCACAGCACAAAAGCTGCCACACTCGTTTCACAGTCAGAGCAATTAAAAACCACCATCAACTGATTAAAATAGTTTGTAAAAAATCTATAATTTTTTCCTTTTGATACAGTTATCTGATTATTTTCTATCTTAAACACCACCAAAATAGCCAGGATCATTTCTCACAATGCAGAATATACTATATGTATTGAAAAAACATGCATTTGATTATTATCCTCTTTCATTCCCAACTGATAATCCTGTCAATTCTATGGAAATACAAAGGTAAATTCTAGCAGCCATCTAAGAAGTTTCTTGCAAACATATTTGGATATTAACTGTATAAATTATGCATATAAGCATATAATGAGAAGCAGTAATATGGAGGAGTAGGAAGAAGAGAGAATAACAAGGGGGCCTTTAAGATGTGGATAAGGTCCACTTCTTTTGGGATAAATTATTTCTGCAATAATAAAGTCTTTCTCCCAGAAATTAATTTGAGGTACAATATCTGGGGCATACACTTTTTTTTTTGTGGCTGGGCTTCACAAACGAAGATTTGGGAAGGCTCTATCCACATTTGTTACAAGCACACTGGTGGCTTATGAGGCCAATATAAGATAGACGTATCCGATTGCAAAAGGCACAGCAGAAAGACTCCTTAGGTGGTATATTCAGCAAGACACGGTTCTTTCTGCGTTGTCTTTTCTCCTCGAGAGTGATCCTGCGTGTGTTCTCAAAGGAAATGGCAGCGTTATAGATGGTGTGTCTCCAGGCCTCCCGACTGGAGGCCAGAGTAGACCAGTTATGGTGATCAATATGGCTTAGTCGTTCAGGGTGCTGCCCCAAAAGACTGTCATCTCCGGTCAGTCTCAAATGACCAATATCCTGAACCGCCCGTATGCAGGGTTGGGTCTGCGGCTCCCAGTGCACCTTTCACCTGCCGTTTCGACCCTCGCCCGTCGCTACAGGGCTGTACAAATGTGGGTAAAGCCTTCGAGCCTGTGCAGTGGATTTTTTAGGTGAGATGCAGTATGCGTGGAACTGAACCCACCCTTTAATCCTGAGGTTCATCTGCCAGGGCCGAGCGAGCTTGGACGGTGGCAGCGAGGTCCTCAGGATGTAGGTTTGATTAGAGTGACCTTCTCTTAGATGGATGGCCTTACAGGGCTAAGCGAGCTCCATCTGCCCGGGTTTGGGATTAGAGTTGTCCTTCTGGGATGACTGCCAGAAGGCTAGTGAGCCCATCCTGCGCTGGCGATGGTACATGCCTTCGGTAGAGTCGCCCATGCCAGACAGGTCAAAACCATAGGCATACACTACAACTAAAAGAAAATGACATGCATAGTAAAGGGTTCTAATGTTAACTTTCTGACAAACTGAATTGCATGCAACCACTCATATTACTAATTTGATATCCTAGCACACTACCCTCCCTTTGTTTCCTTTTTACAAAGCAGCAGCCTCAGAAGCTGAAAGTACAGCTGCTAAAAGACAGATGGTGCAACCTGGGGCTTGAAAGCCATACAGCATGACGTAGCCTGCTTTAGCTTAAACTCCTGTCCTTGCCACTGGGAAACAGACAACAATGTGCACTCCACATTAAGACTCCTGTGCTCTTACCTTTTCAGACTGCACTTTAAGTGGCTATGTATCCGATCCAGCATTTTGGACAAGAACTTCTGAGACCTACACAGAAGTTTTGACCTAGAGTAAACTTCGTTGTGTTAAACATAAGATTACACTTCATTGCCTAGGACCAATAGGAAAGAACAGGAAAAAAACCCCCACATAACAATCAAGCACACAGGAGCCCTACATATAGGTAGCACTACAAAATAGCAATTAAATTTGTAAATCTGTAGTAGTACTGAACACCTTGAACTGAGATAAAGTGTCCCAGAGATTCCCTCATTTGCCTGTTTATTTGTAAGGAAAGACTCAACAGACAGCCAAACACCCATCTTCACAGGAGTCAGCAAGAAGACTGAGGAACTCAACAGCCTCAGTCTTCGCCTCAAACCACGGCTTAAACAAAGATAAAGTACTCTAGTGGAGTTTAGATTTAATTTCCAAACAGGAAAACACTGAAGTCAACACCAGGGCAGAGTTATGGTCTACTTAAACTCTCAGCCTCTCTCACAGCTGTGTTGAGGCTTTTTTTTTTTTTCTTATGGAGATGAGATACTGTATGTAATAGCTTCCAGAAAAAGCTAAACTCAAAACAACCAGGAAAGAGAAGGAGCTGTGTTGTCCCCTGTAGAGTCTCTTGCAGGCCACTAGTGCCATTTCACAGGAGCTGAGCGCAGCAGTATCTTGCTCTTTATTTGAATCAAAGCAAACTTCTAAGTAAAAGCCCAGGAGCAAATACTTACTCAAAAAACTTCCTTCTATGTGTCCCAAAGCCCTTAAGGAAAATGGAGGCTTTGTGGAAATTATAACAAATTAAGATTATACAATTATTAAATGTATAGAAAGAGACAACATTACCAGCACCTGTCACAGTTCCTTTGTCATTAAACAAAGATGCTAATAATCACTAACTCAGCATTTCAGTGTAGACTACCAAGTTTGGTCTTCAGCTTTTAATTAGTATTATGCTTAAAAGTCTCTGTAAATGCCTTGTTTTCATGGTCACAAAAATACGAATATGTGGTAGCTATAAAAAATACAAATATAAGTGGTAGTTAATTTAAATGCATAGGAAATGCCAGTCATTTAATCTGACAATAAACTTAGAATATTTCTTTACAGACTGAAAATATCATGCTGGTTCAGTGTACCAAGCCCAAGAAACAGCAGTGCACTCCAAGAAATGGCAAGTACTCTTCTGATGGTGTGAAAAAATACACATGGGAGGTCTTTCCTACTGATCCTATTGATCTTTCCTACTGAATAACTCGTAATGCTAGTTATTAGTCCTTTCACACTTCACCCTAGAAAACATCTAATATCAACAGTTGGGAAGACAGAGTAATACTCAAAATATAGGATGAGGGAAGGTTGTTTAGGCAGAGGCCTACATTTTTAATTTTTAAATTTTTAATTTAATAAAGGTCCAGGACTTCTTTGAGTACATTATAGAGCATTTTTAAAGGTATGGTTCTCAAAAGAACAAATCAAACCTGAGTAGGGGTAGATGGAGTCTAAAGAGAGAAAATATTTTTTATTCAGTCAGTTTTCATGAGCTGGAACTGGTTATAAAGTACAAGTTACTGAAAGTACAAAGTAAAGAATTGTGGCCTACTTCCACAGAAGTGTCACGACAGAGATAATGTACATGGTGTTTTCTGAAGTCTGCTCTTTGCCCCGTCTCTATTTGCCTCCACAGCAATCCAAGGGCTCTGGATGGTAGCTGTCTGAGCAGCATGCTCGAATCTTGCCCACAGCTTTCCCATATGTTTTGATAAGTATACTTGAATTTCAGCACTAAAGAAGTGCCCAGAAATCAGCTATTAGAAGAAATTACAGCTGTTAGAAGGAGCTACTGGAGATCACATTATTCATGTTTGCCTATTAGTGGATTTATTTGCATCTTCCCCTTCTTACCTTCTCCCCTTTAAACAAGTTTTGCTGACATCTGATACTAAAAGTCTTTCTTTTAGAAAAGCTAGGTTTATCTCTTAAGTCTCAGACCACCTACCATTATGTTTTTGGAGCAGGAACTTGTACTGTTTTCCTTTTAAAATCTCTGTTTCTGGCAGAACTGAACTTAATTTGGCACTTGTAAATCTCATTTCACAAGCCAACTTGTGAGCTTTAACAAAGCAGTCTTCTATCCAGTCAAATATCAGGCATGAGCTAGTAGGTATCTACAAGCCAGACACTGGCCAAAACTGGCACACAGAATGGAGTAATCAGAAACAAAATTTCAGAAGGCCCTGATAGTCTGCTGATAATTAAAGGTTTTGCTGAACATCAGGATTGCTTCCTGCTACAGAGCAAGTATGGGCTTTCATATTCCAGATCAGGACTTCCTCACTTGTTTCCTTCCTTTCTTTCACTTAAATGTAGATTAAAAAGTGGAGAGCTCAGAGGTAGTATGAAACAGTATTTTTCCAAAGCCAGGTAATGCAGAACAAAAGAGTTTCAGAAGTGGTGCTGTTCAAAAATTGCCATTTCACCATTTTGTTCAGTTGAAGAAATTGTCCTTCTTATGAGCACCCAACAACTTCTGTTTCTCAGTGCTGGCATTCAGATACCCCTACTGACCACTCCAGTAAAAATAACTCCACCTAATTCTCTTGCATCTTACCTATCAAGCATTTAGAAAGTCAGCAATCTGCAAATTCAATATTTGTTTGAAGTTAGACTTCTCAAAGGAAAAAAGAAGAAACCTACCATAGTCAGCATTTGCATAATTCCTGCCCTAAAGAAAATGCAAGAGCAGGAACTGTTTTGATGTAATAACGAGTTTAGGTGGAGCTGAATTGCAGCATAGAAATTCAGCAAGAAAGGAGTAAGAACCACCATCCAAAATAATCTAATAGGTTCAAAGAACAATTTGCCATTGTGAAGAATTGCAAATGAAATACATTGAGGCTGCATGTTATAGAAAGGACAAATAGGTTTTATGAACCACAGTGCTACTTTTATATAAAATATTTTTTAAAATATATATTAATTTAAAATGCATTTAACTGTTCCTGCAGCAGCAAGGCAACTGTCAAAGAAAATAAAGTCTGTATTAGCCACATCTGGTAGAGAAATATTGATAACATGTTAATAACATGGCAGGTGCAGAAATAACAGATATCAGATAACGGTTTGGGGAAAGAGAAAAAGTACTATGTGAGGAGGCAGTACAATAAAGAGGTTACCACATACATTGTCTAGATGTAATTTGGTATTCTGAACACTTAATGAACTGTGGAGAAAGGTATTCCCAAATGGACACTGTGAAAAAAAACCAAGGAGCAAATCTTGCTATATTTTGTACATTTATTTGATTTGTAGGTTGTTTCAAGCAGTTTGGAGTGGAAAAGTAGGGGAGAAAGGAAATATATAAATAAATAAAAGCTAATAGCCATACCAGGCTGCCCATAATTTAAAAAATATTATAGCAAAAGAAGGCCAACCTAGGAGAACAATCTAAGTGGAAAATAAGGATGCTTGGTATTACCGTTTTCCATTTAATCATCCAGAATTTGCAAAAAACTTGTTACCCCAGGTATATTTAGATCATAACATGGCATTAAGTTTAACAACAAACTGCTTGCAGCAGTTGACAGTTTAATCTTGTCCGGTCGCTTTTCAAGCTGCTGCCTTTTTATAGTAACACATTTGTTAAACTTTTTGAAAGCTGTGGGTCTCGGAACAGCACATCAGGAGGCTTACATTTTATTGCTAACACATTTGATCCCAAGTACATATAAAAGCAAGAAAAACTTTGCTTAAATACTATTGGAGAGGAGAAGATGGTCCTCTAAATTAGGGAAATAAGTATTTTCCTTCATGTTTCTAAAAAGAAAGATGAGATGAAGTAGATTAATTAGCATATTAATCTTTCTCCTTGCTTTGTCTCACAGACTAACTGGAAACCTGTTTCAAGTTCACTGCTTCAGGCCCTGTCAGACAATGACACCACCAGTCTTTTTGTTATAGAGCATGAGGCAAAGGCTCCTCTGAAGATTGGTCTCTTTACAGATGGTGGAGAAGACAGCACGTATGACACCTGCCAGTCAGAAAAACCTAGCAATAACATAGACATAAGCCAGAGGCATGAAGAAATCCCTGCAGAAGCAGTTACAAATGAAGAAGGTATCATTTCCTTTACAGTACCACTCTTGAGTGACTACACCAGCATGGATTTCAGTCAGAAAGCCCTGATGAGTCTGACAGTGAAGCTTCCTGAAAGAGCTGCTCATCCCCATCTGGAAATGGAACTAAGCAGTAAGCCTGCACAAACTGTGCATAAGGTATTGTTTGCTCCCCAAGACTACCTCAAACAAAGCCAGGTAGTACTGTTGTCATCTGGACCAACTTCCATTGGACAAGTCAATTTGAACTGAAGCCTCTTCATAATTTTCCATACCATAAAATCAAGTTCCAAAACTTCTGATACTTGACTAGGGTCATTAGGATTGTATAGGACAGTGAGCTTGGGGCAATAGTTGTCTCTACTTCAGTAAAATTTCTTGGTGAGATAGATTGATTACACAATTAGATTAGCTATTTCGCCACAGTCATTCTGTGGAAAGTCCTACCATCTTATAGGAAACTGTAGGAAAAACCTTCCAGTAAGGTACCTCTTGCTAGATACTTAGTCCCAGGGCACTCAGGAGCCATTCAAACTTCCACTCTAAGCACAGTGTTTTTGTTGTCGTCATTAAAATTCTTTAACTACTATGACCAGTTTAAGATCTGATTTTCAGATCTCATAAGTTCTTCTTAAGTAAAATTACATCATAAATAAAAAAAATCAGCAAAAGTATCTACACTCCAAAGAAGCTCTCCAGCAGGTCAAAGTGGCCAAAGAAAACTGTAAAGCTTTGAAATAAGGAATTGAAAATTATGTTTATCAATCTGTTGAGTGTTTTACATCTTAAGATTTACATTGTAGATAAACAGTGTGTAAATGAAGATGCTGATAGCTTTCATTAATAGTACTGGAGTTTTTACTTGCATTAAATTAAGGCTATTTCTTCCTACATTTATCTATACATACAGAGAAACCCATTCATGATGGGTTCTGGGATGTAGTTCTAGATATGATTTCACGCTGCATGCAATGACAGTATCTGTTGAATAGACTTCAAGAGCTGGATAGATAGTTCAGATTGGATGGAAGAGGATAAAAGGGGGATAAAAGGGTCTTTCTTAATATGCTTTCTATGTGATTCCATCATGTATCTCCACAATGCAAGGAAGTCTGAACCATTTTTCTACCTTACAAGAACTTCTCAGTCATGAACTCTATAGGTATTAATGGTTTGCTGTTATTTAAGAAAGCCTAGTTTTTTGTTGTCTCTAACTCAAGGAGCATTTTATTAAAAGTTGATCAACTATACTGTTAGCACCAGAGGTCCATAAATGGACATTTTTTAAAATTCTCTTATTAAAAATGAGGGACAATTCACATTCACACAAGTATTTCCATGCGTACTTGGCAGTATGACTTACAGAATAGCCATACTTGCAAAAAGCTCAAAAAAATTCCATATCCCCCACTTCATTGATTTAGTGAGGCCCTATAACAAAACCTGTTTTATTCACTTCTCTTATTTAAATTCACTCTTTCTTTATTTATGTATCTCTATATCTGTTAGGACTGGCAGGAATTAACCTGTCTTTCACTGTGAGTTGTGCACTGGGTTTTTTTCTTAAAACTTAGAATTAAATTATTCTCCCACAAAACAATGTACACCTTCTCACTCGTGTTTGGTAAATCTGGTAATTTAAAAAGTGGGTAACAGGAGCACTCCACAGAGACTGCAAAGGTTTGGACAGTCTTTTAAATGTCTTTCTTCTTTTTTTAAAACTTCAATCTGGTGACTTTGCCTGATTTGAATTTAGGAGAATGCAAATGATTCTGCTATCAGTGGAGCTATTGTTACTTGTAATATTTAATAGTGGGGTCGAAATGAAAAACTGTTAAGGACAATGAAGTCCCAGTATATAATTACTATCAAGTAGTCATAATTTGTCCATTTCCCAAATATAAGAATTATCCACAGTCCTTACTTACAATATTTCTTTCATTTCTGGTCAGAGCAACTTATTTTCCTTGTGCAGTCGGCACTTTCAATAGCTTACTCATCCCTGTAATTATTGAAATCTTTTTTTCTTACTCTGCGCCTTCCAAACCAGTACATATTCTGTTATGGATAAAGTAAATAAGTAGAATTAAACCTAAGATTTGCAAACAGTTTCAGTACCTGAAGCAGCCTTCATATGTGAAACTCAATAGACAGTTAGGGCTTTTGACCTAGTGAGCATTAACTCCATGATATTAGTCATTGTCTGACATCCTGCTAAAGAAAATGTATATATCAGGACAGAAGAATTGTCCTAGAAGAACACATGGCTCTCAAATAGAAGAGATGGACGTATTGCACTTTCAGTTATAAAGCTCACAGAATATGTAATTCTTAACTGATTTCATTAGAGCAATATTTTATATAACGGCTATAACCAGTACATATGGGAGAATGAGAGATACATGAAAAACCCTGGTGTGAAGATTAGATATAAACTAAGAACTCATCCCATCATGATGTATTTTTTGAGAGCAAAGAAAGAACCTTTTATGTGGAGAGAAATAGAGGAGTACACTTGCTAAATAGTTTCATCCAGCCAAAAAGGACACTTTATTGGAATAATGCACCTACTTAGAGACACGGGATTAGGAGACAGGTTAGGGTAAAATAGTTTTCTGTGGTTTGTTTTTTTGGTTGGTTCTTTTATGGGGATTAATTGTACTGCCTGACCTCTTCGGGCAGTTTAAAAAGGTGTGTGCATAACCGATGTGACTGTACAGTGACTACAGAACCCTTCCTCTACTAATAAACATGTAAGATAGTTCATTCCATGTGCTAGAGTACTATTCAAGCAGTTTCAGTTGTGTTCTTAGCTTCAATAGTCTCAGCTTCAATACATGTTATACTAAGAGTGAAATTGCAGGTATGAAGACTCAAGATCACAAAGCCCAAGGCATTTCATAGTTATTTTTTTCCTTTCTTTTCCCAGTCAAATAGCTCTAGATGACCACTGTTAGCATTAGAATTTAGATATGATAAAAGCTTAGACACTTAACTGCAGGTCTGGAGGCACATAAGCATAGTGATTTATAGCATTGGGTATTATACTGCAAGGTTACAACGTGTTAGCATTTTATATTTACAGAGAAAGGAAAGAAAAAATCAGTCACTAATACAGACTCTAAAAACATGCACAAAGCAAAGGTAGTACACACTCATTTTTTTCTGGTATCCAGAGTAGTTGTTTTTTCTTGCATGGACAAGAAGGTGTATTTTTTACTTTTTTTGGGGGGGGGGGGTGTTGTTTGGTTTGGTTTTTTTTTTTTTGGTTAATGCTTAAGGTTGGACTACAGTGCAGTAGTTAGCACTGAAAATAATTAGTGTTTCAGAGAAAAATAAATATGTACTCAACCTGGAAGAGGAGATTGTGGCAACCACAAGAGGATTTTTCACTCTGTATTAGTTACCAAATGAGTAATAGTAACTACCAAGTATCTACAAATCCCCTAAAACCCTAAGCCTTTGGAGTACTTCGACAACCCTGAAAGCCACGTTTATGGCACAATGGTATCTGCACTTGAGCCGAGTCCTGCGGAAAGCAAGGGACATCCTATCCATCGAGTCAACCCCACTTACTGCTACAAAAATTGCAAAATAATAGAGCACTTCATGAAAGACCTCTGCTTACAGAAGATACTTGTCTTGGAGCTCTTGACTCTGTGTCACAGGCTTTTGGTTTGCCTGTTTCTCTCTCTCTCGGTGGCACTGTGTATCTGCTGCTTGAATGGTTTAACTGTATCCTGGCACTGCATTGATGGAACCTGTATGAACCTGGGTAATAAAACTTGTGACAGCTTACAGCACTCAGTTCTGAGCAATGTTTATAGAAGAGTGCTGCTAATACTAATCACTCCATACCAATGGTGGTAAGGTGGGAATAATCTTATCTTTGTATCTATTTCACTTCTACAGCAGAAGCATCAGTTTGATTAACAAAATTGAAAACAACCTGCTATGCTAGAAATGGTCATTTGCATTGCCCATCCTCAGAGACCCTCAAGTGCTTCACAGAATCACAGAATCATTGAGGTTGGAAAAGACCTTTAGGATTGAGTTCAACTGCAAACCTAACACTGCCAAGCCCACCACTAAACCATGTTCTTAAAGTGTCTTCAGGAATGGTGACACTTACAGTTAACCAGACAGTCTGTCCCAAGGCTTGAAAATCCTTTCTGTGAAGAAATTTTTTTCCAAATATTCAATCTAAACCTCCCCTGGTGTAAACTGAGGCCATTTCCTCCCATCCTGTCACTTGTTGCCTGTGACAACATACCAAGCCCCACCTCACTGAAACCGCCTTTCAGGTCGTAAAGAGCAATCAAGTCTCCCTTGAGCCTCCTTTTCTCCAGGCTAAACAACCTCAACTCCCTCAGCTGCTCCTCGTAAGACCTGTGCTCTAACTTCCTTGCACAAAGCCTTCCCTGGGTGAAGGCTAAAACTTTTACAGAAACAAATGAACCAAGGAAATAATCTGGATTTATTGAACCGGTAGACACAGGCAGGACAAAGGAAAATCCTGAGGAATGATAGGCACAGCTACAGCCAGCCCTGACAGGGAAGCTGACACGGAATTGACTCAGGTCCTTACTGGATACACTGGAGTCTAGGCAGGCTGGAGAGCGGTGGACATGCTACTTTATCTGAAAAATTACAAAGTCAGTTTTCAGTAGATTTCTACCACAGAAATGGATAGCAGAATAATAAAGCTCTTAGGGGGTATTCTCTGACCTTTTCCAAACAGTAATTGCTACTGTTAACTTTGCTGGAACTGGTTCAAGCCAAGGTACTTAGCAATCAGCAGTAATCACCTTTCTTGTGAGTTGTAATTAAATAACCTTTCTGGCACTGATTTAATTTGTGTGTGTCCTAGTTAGAACAGCTGGGACCAATTCATCACTGGATGGGTGTAACCCAAAACTGTGTATTCTATAGCCTTCCATGCCATTTCCCAGAAACTGTTATCAATAGAGCATTTACACCCTCTGCCCAGAGCAGCCTGACTCCTCAGGCTATAAACTAGGCATTAAGAGGCCTGCGAGATAGGAAGATGCTCCTGTCCTCACACCCTTTTATGGAATTCCCCGCTCTGAGGGAAGGACTGAGCATTCCTGCCTGAACTGGAGAATATATAAACTTGGAGTTTTGGAACCTTTTTACCACTCATGGGATCCAGAGGAAGACTGCAGCTCACCGCTCTCAACCAGACTGAGACCGCCACCCTCAACTGGACTGCAATCACCACTCTTGACCAGGCTGCAACAGCTCTCCCACCAGCAGGTTTTTCCCCTCTCCCTTTACTTTGGACTCAGGGGGGGCACAAGGAACACCACTTTGTTCATGCCCCAGGGTGCTGGGTTATACATTCAGGTTTTGTGGGTTAAGACCAACTGTTTGTCTGTATAATTGTAGTTATTGTATTATTTTATTAAATTGTTATTCTGACTTATAATCTCTCTTTTGAGTTGAGTTCATTTCCCCTGCTGGTTAACTTTTAAACCAGCACAGTGTGGTTACTGGATATCACCAGAATTAGGATCCATAAGACTCAGTAATGCCCTTTTGACATGATACCTGTGGTTGCATGATCAATATCTGGAGGTTTGATGTGTTACACCATCTAGAAATGAATTTGGCCATCGTGACTTCTGTGTGTTATATTCAAGATACAGACTTTTGGAAAGGAGGCTATTTGTGTTTCTGCAGTTTTTAATTATCATGGTTGTGTCCAAATAGCTGTAATTGCAAATGTCCATACAACATCCACATATGAGCTATTTAGGCAAAGACTGTATTGTAGCTTCTCAACACATGGGTCAGTACCTCATAGTTGAAAAAGCAATAGCACATAGTCACACTGAAGTTCTAACTGGTTACATTGGGTCATACAAATGTTCTTCAGTGCTGTAAAGCATTTGTGGTAAAGTTGAGATAAAATTTACATCAAATGCATTGGCTCAATGAAAATTAACATTCTATTAAAAGATCCTACTAGGAAAAAAATACAGATATTTTCACCAATAACATAAGAGATTTTGTGGATGCTGAGAAAATCCCTAGCTCCAAAACCAGTTAAAATAATCCAGTGGTATGTGATTCTATTCATTCTCTTTCAATGTTCATTCAACCTTCATCAGAAGATGCTTAAGATTTTGCAAAAATAAGCAAGAGAAGCAAAAGTATGGCAGCGTACTTAAATTCACTATATATAGGCTGTATCTCCATTGGAATGCTTGAGGAGTTTGCAATTCCAAAAGGTGTTGTGTGTGTACTCATAAACCCATTATACAATTGCTTTGATGCCATTTGCACTAAGAATGTTTCTTACTCTGACGTTTTTCAAGCATCCTCTCTGCAACACTGGAGAACCAGTCACAAGCACAACAGAATACTACTTTTTCAGTTTCTAAGGACAGTCATGTTTTGTTGTTGCGGCTTTTTGTTGTTTTTGTTGTTGTTTCATATGGTTTTTGTTGATTGGGTTTTTTAATACTAGTTAGTTATTTGAAAGCTTCCAGGAACAAAGGGGATTGATTGGATGCAGGGAACAAAGGCGATGGACAGACCTCCAACCACTAGGAACAAAATGGAAGATACAGTGCCTATTTTTCCTTACATCCCTCCACTTGCATTGTCTGTCCTTCCAGCAGCCCCAAAATCTCTTGGAACTGGAACCAGCCATGCTGCCCAGGTGGCCCAATTTTGCACACTGGCATCATGGTACTCTGTCTAGTGCCATGTTACAGAATTCAATGTTACATTCCTCTCTCTTTTCTTTGCTGGCAAAACTCTCATTGCAGTCATAAACTGCACTGCAGTAAGGACTATAGAGCTCTAATTTACTTCATTTTCTCTCATTAAATAAAAGCACCTTCCTGCTCGCAGGCATTCTAATTTACCTTCCATCCTCCAAAAGAAACAGTTCAAACAAATACATTTCATCAGCTAATTAAGTGCATGTAATCAAATGCAAAGCTCCAACATACATCAGACTCAGTCCTCCAGGGTTGTTCCAAAGCACCAGATAATGAACTGGGCATAACATCAAAGTCAAAACAAACCTATTTTAGGTATGACTAAAAAGGCCCTGCAACATACATGGAATATCTCCTATTAATGTATAAATAGGTACATCACATTCCAGTGCCTCTTAGCAGATTACTTCTACACTAGGGCACAGAAATAGCAGTTGTAGAGTACTAAAAATAGTGGCACTTTGCAGTAGGCTTGTAACAAAGCCTGTAGCACACTCTATGTCTAAATACACAGTATTTCAAACACTATCTGAAACTTGTATAGGCCAGGAGGGGGTGCTCGAGTACTGAATTTCATACTGCAGTGTGGCATAACCTAACTTTCAGAAGATGCTCTTCCTACACCAGATTTTGGCGTAAACATTTCTGTCTCCACACTGTAATTCCCTCAACAAGCCTTCAGCGGCTTGAACCTTTCTTGGAGATTTCTCCCTTGAGTCAGATAACCAGATCATGTTCTTAGCAATAATGGCAACATTTTCAAAATAAGGTACCACTATAGCAAATCCAAGTTTGTGATTTGGAAAGTCTTGGTAAGTGATACACAGAATCATATTTAAAAAGGAAGTTTTCCACCTATTGATTTTGTATTGTGCTGGAAAGCATTCTTTTCAAAAGCTCTATTCCACCCTAACATTGTCACAGCTTCCCATTATCTAAGCACCAAGTAGTAGCAACAGTTTACATGGTATAATCATCACACCCAGAGATGTTTGATCACTAATGTTAGGCACTTCATATATCAAGTGTGCGCCTTTAAGTCAGAAGATGACCGAACAGTGCTACCAGCAGGCTTGGACAGTTAATCACCTCTTTATGACAGGAGACAGATCAGGAATGATGCTGGATTGCTTTTATAGAGCTCTTGAGAACTATGACCTGGAAGGCTGATATAGCTTCTAAAATAAAAACTTTTACTTTTGTGGTCTTTATAGATCTCTATTCATCCCTCTTGATAACAAGCATAAAAGCAAAAATTTCTAATCTTACAGGCAGAAGATGACACGGAAGCCACAAAACACGATCACTTCAAAAGGGACATAATACTCGCTTCACTTGCAGTTATGAGCTAATATTGGACATCTGACAGAAGAAAGTTATTAAATAAAAGTAGTAGGATTTATATGTTTTATTATCACCTGCTGAATTACTACATTCCTTACAACTATAAATTTCCATAGGTAAAAATGAGCAAAGGAATCTGATTTACTAGAATGAATTAACTTATGCAATACCTGCCATTTTTCATCCAGTCAAAAAACCACAGTCAAACCCCCTTTCTAATGCATTCAATGCAATGCAATGACCCAGGTCTAACACCTTCTTCCATCTAAAGATTCTGAAGTGTACTTTGAGCTAATTAATTCAGCACTGACACACTTCTACTGAACAAAGAAAGTATTCTAAGTCCTGATATAAAATTAGAGAGTATTAGAGTGACTTACTGCATTGTCCTAGTTAGGACAGCTGAGACCAGTTCATCATGGTATGGGTGTAACCCAAAACTGTGTATTCTATAGCCTTCCATGCCATTTCCCAGAAATTGTTATCAATAGAGGCCTGCAAGATAGGAAGATGTTCCTGTCTTCATACCCTTTTATGGAATTCCTCGCTCTGAGGGAAGGACTGAGCATTCCTGCCTGAACTGGAGAATATATAAACTTGGAGTTTTGGAATCTTTTTACCACTCGTGCAGCTCACCGCTCTCAGCCAGACTGAGACCACCACCCTCAACCGGACTGCAATCACCACTTTTGACCAGACTGCAACAGCACTCTCACCAACAGGTTTTCTCCTCACTTTTTCCTTTGGACTCAGGGGGCCCAAAGAACACCACTCTGTTCATGCCCCAGGGTGCTGGGTTATATATTTGGGTTTTGTGGGTTAAAACCAATTGTTTGTCTGTATAATTGTAGTTATTGTATTATTTTATTAAATTGTTATTCTGACTTATAATCTCTCTTTTGAGTTGAGTTCATTTCCCCTGCTGGTTTACCTTTAAACCAGCACATGCATGTCCCACATTATCTGAGAAATGGCCCTATAAAGCAGCCTCTAGGTCTCCCAGGCTTATACCATAAACGTACAACTGCCATCTGTCCATCCTCTTTGGAAATTAGGCAGCAAATCAAACATAACAAAGCAAACATATCAAAGGTCAGAAGATCTTAGTGAATCAAAGGATCTCCTTGGTGATACAAATGAAACTTGGGATAAATGAAACGCAAAATCTCCTCTGGCTCAACAGTTTTATTGGGCACACCAAAACAAACCAAAAGCATTACATGTTTGTTACTGGATAATATATATCGTCTCATTCTTCTATTTATCCTCTCTTGTATTTCATCCAGAAATACTGATCTGTAACATGTGTTAGTATGATTTACAGCATGGTTCAGGCAAGACTAGTCCTTCCTAGATATCTAGCCTTGATGAGGATTGAGATGTGTAAGAGTTGAATCCTTGTAAGGAAAATGCCATGCTAATAGAAAGACATAACAGCTCAGAAAACTTATTAAATGACTCTTAGCTGAATAAGAAGAGTATCATCTCCTTAATATTGAACAAAGCAGACGAATAATTACGGAAAATGTTACTTCTCGTGGATTGATGCATTTACTTTTAACTCCTCAATCCAGTAATCTAAAGCAATTGTTGAAAATATTGCTTCAATAAAAATGGAGGGGTTTCTTTAGGCTTTATCTTTAAAAAGAAATGTAAGATTTGCAGAGAGAAAAACAGAAGAAGCACAATCTTCCCCAGGTCCGATGTAGAAGAAGTACACAATAAGAGAAAAGTACTAACACTCATATCTGCCTGTTTTCTTGAAAAAAGGAGACAAAACAAGCCATGCACACAAAATCTTGATTTTAAAAGATTATCACTATTTTTAAAAGACTATCACTATTTTTGTCAATTTTCACTCTTCTTCTCTAGAAGAATTTCTTTTTATTAGTTCTGTAAGTAAAGTAGGCAGTATATAACAAAGAAAGTTAATACATGTTCTGAACTGTTGCAGTCATCTCAGTGTTTCTCAGATCAGTTTTTCCCTGCTTTCACATTCAGAGCAGCAGCATGGCGAAATGCAGTTATCCAGACCACAGATGTGCTGACTAAAAGCCCTGATCGGTGGGAACTAAACCAGCCTTAGTCTCCTTACAGACATAACTGATCTCAAAAATCAAAGATCAGATCACTGCTGACAAGCAAATCCCAAACTTTTGCTCCTTAGTCATTCCTGTTTATTTGGATTCTTACACATTATACAAAGCAATAGAGAAACTTAAGCATCGAAAAGTGAATTTTATTCTGAAAATATCCATTACATACATCGGTATGACTGTTAATGTCAGAAGCACTGCCTGAACTCCTGATCCTACTTTGACATAGTCTTCTATACAGTTACATTTATTGATTTACTGTTTGAAACTGACAAGCTTTCTCTGGTGAAACTATGGTATTTTTCTCTGCAGAACAGGGGGTTCAAAAGCCTTTTCTGTAACTAAACAGTGATGATACATTCAATTACTTAAACCCTTATCATGCTTCCTGTAACATTCTTGCCAGTATCAGTAGAACAGACTTAGTTTCTAACACTTGATTCTGGGGCAGATGAAGCCTATGAAAAAAAAAAAAAAGGAAAAAAAAAAGGAGAGACAGAGAGGGAGACTTGCTTCAGAGTAATTCACTGTATCTCATCCAAATGTAGTGGAAGTGAGTTTATGACACCATTAAAACTTTGGAACATTGTTTATTTATGAAAATAACAACTACATAAGAACATTTAACATTTCTTTATATGTACCATTTCATAGTTGCTTCATTAATGCAAAAATATACTCTACCAACATAGCACAAGTTTGGTTACCTATTAATTAAACTTAGAATACCTACATTATTACTAGAAATATCGAACTTAGAGAAGGGAAATAATACTTTTGCTGCTGGGGTGCTCAGGTTCCCCAGGTATATCTGAACCCAGACAGTGATAAGTGTGATTTGTGTGTAGCAAAGGAGACACAGCTCCCATATCAGTAGGGAAAATACCAGAAAGGATGTACTGGCAGGATACATAAATTGTGAACATTAAATTAGTCTCCTGGTGTTTCTGGAGTGGATCACTCATTCCTTTGACTAAATTATATTACGCAAGTGATGGCTTTTCAAAGTAGCAATTTCTAAGTTGCCCATGATTTACTCATCAGTGCAGCAGTAGTTCTAAATCTTTGCACTAGGGAAGGAGTAGAGCTACAACTTCTTCTAAGAAAGCTACTTAACTGACAGCCTCATTAGTGACACGAAGAACTGAGTGAAAGGAAGATAAAATTACTCTTTTACCATTGCTGATACATCTTTTAGGCCAAAGATGACGCATGTAACTTCTTCAATGTGAGAAGAATAATTTCATTATAAAGATTAGTACAGAACACATTTTGTACAACAAGACCCTCTAATCTCAGATTTGGCACTAGATGAACACAAAAAATGCAACAAAATAAAAAAAAAGTGTAAGCTGAAGCTTTCTAGAATAAAATATGTAAACAGCTAAAAACTCACTTTTGCTGTCCATGTTCTCCTCTATTAAGCTCAATAATCTTAAAATTGACTGTCATGACAATTTTTAAAAAAAATGTTTCCCTCTTGCATAGTAAGAGTTCATGTGTTCAGAAAATACTGAAACTGAAGTTTGTAGATAGCTTCTCAACTGTGGCATTTATTTGAACAATACATAATCGATGTGTAAACAGCTTCATCTCCTCAAACCAGCTGGAAAGTAGCTGCCTCTGTATATTGTCAGACAAGTTTATTAAGCTGTTGTCCATTGAAGAGAATACAGAAGAAAGCCACACACTAACATGCTCAGATCCTGCAACAGAACTTAGTTACAAACAAGGCATTCTTGATAAAAATAAATACTACATGCAATGACATTTTTTAAAAGTCTAAAATTAAACAATTGAAAGTATGATTCTCATACATAAAAAAATCCCCTTTTGTGCTTTTAGTTTTCAATATAATTTCAATTACACTTTTCAACATATAAAAATAAACCTAAAGTACAAGCTGAAAGCTTCTGTTCTGTTTACATATTAGCAAACAAAATTAAATTTTAGATTCTCTTTAGGCACTAACACAACGATATCTACATATTTCAACTCTTCACACTCCAATCTCTAGTGAGAAAACTGCATCTCTCTGAACTAAGTGCCTACTGATTGACATGATTTTAGCCATTTACAGATCTCAGCATTTATGCCACTAAATCAAATTTTCACGTTTAAACTTATGATAACACCAAAGGCAATAACTGATTGCTATAAAATGGAAAATACAAGTGGCAAGTGGGACCCATAATATGACTCAGTTCATTATTCAGAATTCACATCCTAAAGACCGTTTTACCATTATGATGCAATTATCACACTTTGGATTCTTTTCTCCCCCCTCTAAAAGTACATGAACTCCAATCTTCTTTCATTACAAACCAACAAAAAGACAGTGATGCAAATGCTTCAGACTTTAAAACAGACAATACACACATCACTATGACATTACTGCTTGCAGTGGTCATACACATGAATGAAAAATTTGAGTAATAAGGACAGGTAAGGACAGGTAAGAACTATACAATAATTTTTAACACACAAAGCAGCCTTCATGTATCTCTTTCTTAGACCAGAAGAAAATCCCCACTTTAGTTACTATCACAAAGTATCACTACAAGTTAAGCGCAACAAAGAGAAGCTACGCTGTAACAGACCTGCAGGGTTTCAAAGTAATTTCAGGTACTGCCTTAGATGTAACTGGGCCAGAGAACAGTAGCAAGCAACACAAAGCATACTACAGACTACAGAATTTTCCTCCCTTGCAGCAGAGTAAAATATCCAAGTGTCCACAGCTCATTTCAGAATCCAAGCTGTGCATAGGTTGCTGCTGTCAGCCAGCTAATATAAGGTCAGTTCAGATGTATCTATTTTGATGTGCCATCAAAAAAAATTAGCAGGTGATTAATGAGTAGGCAGAACTCACATCTCATCAATTTCCCAGGTATTCTTCAGATATTTCTAGTTTCTAACCCAGTGCTTTTATCCCTACTTCTAGTTCTGAAATACTAAAAAACCAGCATTCTTAACATACCATACTATCAGTGTTTGCAAACAAAATTCCATCCCTCACATCTGTGTAAATCCATTGACTGATGAATTTATCTAAGCCACAGCCACCTCTATCTTGAGCTTGAAATCCTGTTTCATCCACCAGCAGTTTTCTTCTGCTATCTTCTTCATCCAAAAGCCATGTCTGTTATCTAGAAACACTGTTGGGAAGTAACTGTGGGCACTAATGGAAGCTTATGCATATGTGCTTTACACGGTCTTTGCAAAATGGCACCGCATCATCACTTTTCTGAGCAATTAAAATTTCAAGTAAAGGTTGAGTCAGATGAAATTACATGTAAAGCAACAGAGCTACTATGAACTACACTGTTTTGAAAACCTCCACTCGATGTAATCCCATTTATAAAGCAGAAACCCAGGTGATCCGACACGGCAGCTCAGCATGCAAGCTTGTTAATAATGAGGCAATGGACTTCCCATGGAAGATGGACACATTCAATGGATAATGTGCACAATCCTGTAGGAGCAAGCTGGAACTTAATTACTGTGCTACACTACCAGTTTAAAAATTAACTACCCCCTGCTGAGATACACATTTTATGGAGTAATAGTTCTGTAGTAGTAGCTTTTTAGGAAGAGAGGAACCATAAAACATCCTATACAAATAGGCAAAACTTAACTTCCTCACAGATGCGCACAGTATTTACAAAGTAAAACCAAAAAACAAAGTATTCGGAAGAAAATATGACTTGAGGTGGGGAGGAAATGTGTGTGTTTGGTGGCTGGCTGCTTTGGTTGTTTGTTTCTTTCCTTTTTTAAAAAACAAACAAACAAAAACTTTGTAAGGAGCCATAATTCACATACAACATAACAATGTGCTGCATATAGCCTCACATATGTGCTAAGTTAGCTAGTAAGTTAAGGCTGCCACCTTTAACTATCAATTTCCAAAGGCATGTTTCTCAGCTAAGTGTACACAATCCTTTACATATTCTATAACCGATATAGCATAGGGCTATCCAATTTCAGAATAAGAAAACTAAAGATAACAAACTAATATCAGCTAAAACATGATACACTTCAAAAATTCTAATTCTTCCCAAAGGAGAAACTTCGCTTTTCAAAGATACCATAAAAAAATACATGTATGTTTTCACTAATACCTACATTCTGAATCAAAGAAGCTGTCTGAGTAAGACCATGTGGTCTAAAAATATTCCTTTAATAAGTATGTATCAGCAGAAATTTCCCTCTAAAATACTCAATTTTATTAGTGAAATGGTACCAAAGATAACAAGTATAGAAACAATCTCTTTGCTCTATGCTACTTAGACATCATAAACAACACAGCTGTTGTTGCAAGACACAATCCTTCACAGTCTTCCTGTAAGCACACAGATTTGTTATTCTTTATCAGAATTATGGCTGTCTATACTTTACATGGTAAAGCATTTTCTGTACTCTTAAATGTGTAGTGGTAGGAACACTAAATCTTATAAAAAATGAAGAGTGATTAAGCAGCTTCACAATCAAATTGATTTGATTACCTTGGGAATTGGGGAAATTTTTTGTTCCCTGTAACATGGTCTCCTCCCCCCACTGAAAGAATTAACTATGCAAAAGAAAAGTATAACAAATAGAAAGCAAATAGCCAATACACTATTATTTTTTTATTTCAACTGAAAGAAATAACACTTCCCATGAGGTAAGGCAATTAATTCCATTGCATTAAGTTGTAGTAAAAATAATCTACTCCACTTTAGCTATAATTATGTCTTAGAAGTATGACTTTTCGGAAATCTCATGTAACCAATTAAATTAGTTCAGAGAACACAAGCCATGTTTTACCTTGACAAAAATATTTCGTCATTCTCTTCTTACATGCTTTCTTCCCAAAAAATGAAAAAAACCTCTACTATGTAAGCCCTGTGTAAATTAAACTTTCTTGCACAAATTATTTATCCCCCACTGCTTTGCAAACAATTCCTTCTACATCACCCTACAGGTATCAGAGAAGATGATCAAGAGGTAACTATTAAGGCCATCCAAATGTAGATTAAATGTCTTAAGGGCTTTCTTGATGCAGGTGATCAGAACATGTTTTATGCTGAGCTACTACTTTTGTACAGTGGTGGTCCCCACACTGCATCTTTGCTCTCATTTATAAATCTCCTTTAAGAGTAAAAAATAAAAGTAAAATGGAGCTTCAGTATTTTAACAAATGAACCAAACAACCGTTCTGACAAATCACTTGCATCCTTGTCCACAGTATGGTGGTGGCAAAATAGCAAGAGAGATCATATAAGATTTAGCTGAAAATGTGTAACAGCACACATACATTTCTAGAAAATATCACATTTTAAGAAGGCACTAAAGCTTCTGCTTGTGCTCCCATATTTTTTAACCAAAGAAAAAAAATGATTTCCTTAATGGCACCTGTACTATTTGCAGCTTAACAGACACACTGCAGTACATCTCAAAACAAAGCTGTAAGTTCTGATAATACCATACTGATGTGCTCACTTCTGTAAGGACAAAGAAAACAACAAAACAAACCAATCCTAAAATAACCCAGTAAGCTAACCAAATATCTATAACATGGCAATGTTCCTTACAGGAAAAGAAAAAGAGCATGCATTGTTCAAATACTTTAAAAGAAATATTAATTTTAGGGATATTAGTAAAAAATTCTTTTAAATAATAAACCCGAAGAATCTCAAGCAGTGAGCAAATTAAAAATATACTAATTCTCGGGTATTTAACATAAGGTAAAATTGTGTTTATGTTTAAAACCCCTTTCCCTACAGTTGTCATTTACAAGGAAAGAAGGTGTGTACATTTATGCACCATTTTCAAGCACATCAAACATTACACATCGGGATTTTTTAACCCACAGGGCAAAACAACACAAGTCATCAACAAGCAGTATTTTAAACAACCTTCAATGCATACCTTCAGCTTTTTTGGGGAAGTACAGGTTTACATCTTTCAGTTTCTACTTATTTGTAACAGCTTATAGCAAAACGTAACATACATAATTTTACAAGTACAGCCATCATGGAAATGCATGGATTTTCAGAGATGAATAGTTCTGATGGCATCTGCCTTTTCATGGTATAACGACTGGTCCGTGTTCTCTTGCTTTACAGCAAGAAGACAACAAAGCTATCACAAGAATTGTAGGAACTACTAGTACTATCAATACGGTCAGGTTGATTGCTTTGACATTTTCTTCCTCATTCTGGGAAATAAGATGCTTTGGATTTCATTCCTTAGTTGAATCACAAGTCCATTCTTTGCTTTAAACCTCTTCCATTTTAATTGACAGGCTTTCTTCATTTGGTTGACAGTTCCCATTCTGTTGTAGTTTGACTTCATCTGTTCTTTGTGCATCTCTATTGTCTACTTCCTTGTCAGTTTCTGAATTCTGATCCTCTTTATTGTTATCTTTCTCCTACCAAAGATAAAATAATTTCATAAAAAATATTTCTTAGCATTATACAATATGACTTCCAACCAACTCTTGGTAATTTTATTGTCTCAATTTTTACATGCCTATCCTGTCTCTGCAATTTTTAGAACAGAGGGTGTGAACTTCTTTGCCCCTTGTTTTTTTAAAATAAGCTTTCTTTTCAATTGGCTGAAGTTAGGCACTCATACCAACCCTTCATCCAAGAAATCACTGCCATAAAGTGATCTGTCTTTATTATCTATATTCTTAAAAAACAGAACAAGCAGCACCTATGAGAAACAGCTCCAGAAATTAAGATTTCATCACATTTTTTTAATAAAACAGGACTACATTTTTTCTTTCCCATTTTTTTAGGTATCTGATGCATTTTAACAGAGTTCTTAGGTAAGATACTTAAGCTTTGTAGAATGACATAAATCAGCCGCTTTATATCAGCTGTATAATTCTGAGCACAACAAACTACTCTTTAAAGCATGCTGCTATTCAAATTCTAGAATTAAACAGTTTGAAGATGTTTCTTTTCTTAATTGCAGCACCTTCTCTTTTGCGGGAAAAATCCCATATCACTCTTTCCCAACTGTTCAACTCTACTCCTGCAGAATCCAATACACAGACCAGGACCAAGGCAACGAGGGAGATGCTGAACTGCACAGTGGAAGTTTATTTAAATAATGTTTTCAGCTTGACAGTCAAGATGCCTCTGAACACTGCTTCTTAGTTACATGGTCTGCCTGCTCACAAAGGTAAGCAGCCAGCCAATTCCTAACATATGGCACACAACAGGAAAGAGTAACAAAACTTAGTGTTTCTGTACGCTCCTACAGGTCCAGTATAGTTCAAACATGGAGACTCTTACCAACTGGCCCACTCATCCCAACTGCGGGTCTCCAACTAGCAAAAACTAAACCCCAACAGTAATAATTTCATAAGGAAAACAGAAGAAGTAAAAGACGGTCGGATGAAAAGAAAGAAAAAGGAGGGAGGGAATTTCAGTAATGGCTTCACTACCACCACTTTAGTCTGTTGATCACTTGGGTCACACAAGCTTACCTTCAAAGTAGTGGTGCTTTTGTCAGATTTCTCCTTTCCCTCTTTTTCTTTACTACTTTTTTTCTTGGAGGTGGAGCGTTCTCTTTCTCTTCTTTCATTATTTGTATCTCTTTCTCTTTTTTTTTCTTTCTTGTTTCTGTTTCAGAAAATTTTTAGTCAAATTAGGATTTGATCCAACTTCAAACTATTTGACTGCTAACTTAAACTCTCTGCTGTGCATTTTAAAAAAAACCTGAAATGTAACAGAAAAACCTTTCATAAAGGCAAGAGGATTTTTTGACTTGAAGAGAACTATAGAGTGTAAAAGTGATCAGTCCGCACTGTATTTGCCAAGAAAAAAGCAAATCGATCTCTATCAGATGAAAGGGTTTTATCATTTTGAAGCAAATCTGCATTGCTGATTGATTTGAAACTCTCCCACTGAAAGCATACCAAAGCTAAAATCCATTAAGGTTCTGGGTTGGTTTTAAATTAGAACTGAATCATCTGAGATGATTAGTGCAAAGGCAATAAAACAATGAAAATGTTATAAATCCTGCCTTCTTTACTGATCATTAACTTTTATGTTTACATCAAACTGACCTTCTGGGGGAAGGAGTTCGTGAAGACTTTCTTTTTGCTGTTTTCGATGTTTTAGGAGACTTGGAAGGACTTCTACTCTTCCTTTTACGCCTTTCTCTACAGGACCAAGAAATTCAAGATCATCAAACCCCAAAATAATAAACTCAAGAACCAGATAAAAGGAGAAAGCTCATAAATGATCTAACACATCCACTGTGCAAGTATCCCTGAATTTAACATTATAAATCACCAACAATACACAAACTGTACAAAGAAAAAAAAATATTTCTTATGTGTCAGTTTGGTGGGAAAGGCAAGGGCTTGAAGTAGAAAAAAAGTTCGTGCCCTTTCAAATACTATTTTTTTAAATCATCGCATGCTTGCTAACAATAGAAACACACTGAATTCACTAATCCTGTATTAACTAAGAGTTTCCTCAGTCAGGAAAAGAATTCAATTGAATGAAGTGCCATATTAAGACAAAGGCATAACTTGAGTAATATGAAATTCAAAATGTAACACTACAACCTGAAGATCACTGAAACTTCAGGTTAATCTGACTGAAATTTAATTTATGAATGAAATTTAATACATGAGCTAGAATTCCTGTTGCTTTAGAAGTAAACTGTTAACAATTAATCCCAAGCTGTTGTCAAAATCAGAATAAATAAGCAAATATTTACTGTTTTTCTAGTGGTCCTTGCTCAGCAAACAGAATGCTATCATTCTACAGCACACAAAAGAGCTTGTATTTTACAGAAGAGCTGTTTTACATAGCTGGAGTTTGCTGAAGTTGCTGTTATGGAGTTTGATCCTGAATGGAACAAAACCTTAAATAACTGGTTGCAAACATGAAGAGGCACATGTTGAAGCAAAAACTAATCTAGTAAAGCTTCATTCAGCATAAATGCAGAACCTATCTTTGACAAAACAAGATGATTTTCTCCTATCAACTCTTCATACAGCAGGAAAACCAGATTGGAAGAGCCATCAAAGAAAAACAGGAAAGTTAAAAACTAACTTCTAGATATGACACAAAAGCTACACTTATGCATACCAACTTTTTCAATTCACACCATTAGGTGTGAATATTTAAACCTCTAGTATTTAGAAAAGGCAGGAAATCAACAGTTATTAGATAAATTACGGAAGGACACATTAAGTTATGCCTAGTATCACTACCTGGATTGATACTCTGACAGTATCATCTACCATGACTGTCCTGGTTTTGGCCAGGACAGAGTTAATTTTCTTTCTAGTAACTGGTACAGTGCTGTGTTTTGGATAATGCTGACAATGCACTGATGTTTTAGTTGCTGCTTACTCTGTTATCAAGGACTTTTCAATATCCCATGTTCTGCCAGCAACCAGGTGCACAAGACTCTGGGAGGGAGAGCTGACCCAAACTGGCCAAAGGGATATTCCATACCATAAGGCAGAGTTGGCTGGGCTGGGCATCGCTTTGTGGGTGGTGAGTGATTGTGTTGTACGTCACTTGTTTGTCTGGGGTTTTGTTCCCCTCTCTCTCCTTCCCACTACAGTTATTATTGTTATTATAATGATTATTTTGTTTCAATTACCAAAATGTTCTTTCTCAACCCCTGTGACACAGAGCTGGGCAGTGTGTGAGAAGGTTGAGCAAGGAAGGGGCTGGTGTGGGAACAAAGGAAGTCCAAAAACAACTGTTATGGTTTAACCCCAGATGAGCTCACCCCCAGTCTCCCTTCCCCTGTTGGGGCTGGGGAGAACTGTCAGGAAAAAAAGGAAAACTCCAGCATCTACCAGCTGCCAAGAAGGCAATTAACTCTCTCCCAGCCAAACCCAAGACAGGGAGCTTCTGAAGCTGCAGAGGAGCAGGTTTCTTAAATATTTTGTTCAATAAGCTTTTAAATTCGATTTCATCTCTGGTAAACAAAAATTTGAAGTTGCATCAGAATCATGGAGCAAATAACACAATCACTGATCAGTTGTTCACTTGTTAATAAGCATGTCATTTTTCAAATAAGGATACTAGAAACTGATTATTCTGACAGTGCTCCAACTTCGGCTACATCAAGTACAACGCTGCTTTATTTTGCTTTCCAGCATACAAGTGAGTAAAAAGTACTTTAGCAATTGTGTTCAAACTAGAAACTGTTTCTTCATGAAATCTAATTTTAATTTTCTGCTTTTCTTATTTCAAGTCGAAGAACTACAATTGTGCCTCACTGCATTTGTTCTCACTTCTGTTACATTTGTCTTTAAAGATTTTTGTGCACCTGTTTCATTAGTGCTCTTACACAATACTAATATAGCAAAATTCAGGAAAAAGCAAGTCTGAATACTTCGAGAGTGATACTGTGTCTCCTAATCATACATGGAAATAACATTCAGCACCTCCTCTGGTACTGCTGGCACTGCTAGCCTGTAAGATGTCAGTTGAAAAGACAGACAGATCCTTCTCTTCCCCTGGTCTGTGTCTCTTCCTTTATCTAGGAATCACAAATAATGATCTCATTTCCAGTACTTACACACTGCCTGTCAGCAAAGCAATGTCAGTTTCCACCTAGTTCCTAAAAAGTTCTGTATGTCCTATTCCACCTTCAACTCTTCTCCAAAAAGATGAGTACTATTTGTCCAATATTTTACACTCGTCAGGTAAATGATCAGCAGTCAGTGCTGTACTGAAATGCTAATTTGAAATGCCAGTTTGCTGGATAATGTCCAGAATGGTCTGTAACCATTTCAACTAGGCAATGTCAATCACTAAAGTAAAGAGATACCTCTAAAAGCAAGCTGTGACTCTGTAACCCAGCCTATTCACAATTACTTTTCAGAGAACAACAGCATTGCTAAGGTTGGAAGAAGCCTCTGAAGATCACTTAGTCCAACTTATCCCTCCCCCACCTTACAACAGGGTCAATCACAAGTAGGTTATTCACAGCCATATCCAGCTGGATTTTTACTGTCTCCATGGATGGAGGAGTCTCTGCAACTCCTTGGGGTATCTGGTTCCAGTTTGCCCAGAAAAAACACCATTTAAACATTAGAAAAAAAGCCTTTATTTCCCATACATTAATATGAGCCTACTGCCTCTTAGCCTGTCACAGGCCTCCACAGAGATAACAGGCTCTGTCTTCTTCACACTCTTATAAGGTATACATACACATTGCTCACAACACTGCTGGCCTTCTCGGCTGCAAAGACCTTTGCTGCCAGCCAGCCTTCCAGCCAGTCAGTCCCCACGCTGTACTGGTGCAACAATGTCATTCCTGCCTGGGTGCAGGACTTGTCCTTTCTCTTTGTTCAACTCCATGAGATGACTATCAGTCCATTTTCCCCATCTGCTGAGGTTTCTCTAAATGGCAGAACACTCCTTTGGTGGACTAGCCTCTCCCCACAGTTGGTTCTCTATTGTCTGCAATTTGCTGAGGGTTCAATCTGTCCCGCTCTCTGTGTCACCAGTAATGATGTTCAGTAGTATCGGCCTCAGTATTGATACTCTAAAGACAATGTTATGTCTGAAAAAAAATTGTAAATTCATACTAAAAAGTGTATTTCTCATTCTCCATCTTCAAAAGAACACTGTCCTTGTGTTGCAATCTGTATAAAAATATTAACTTCATACCAAAGTAGGGTTCTTTGACTTCACTAGAAGAGATGCACTAATTTTTACTAGAATTCTTTGCTCAATTACTTGGCATTGTAGCCTTCCATAACACTTTCTTAACTAGTAAGATTCTTAATTGTTGCAGAATTTTTGGTAATATCCAGCTAACTACACTTGCTACTTGACATTAGGAAGCTGGTCTTCCACCAATGTTTTTATATCAGTTACATATTGTGAAAATCTAATTCAACTCCTGAAGCCTACAGACAGAAAATATGTTTTCAAAGCTAACAGAAGCACCTCTACTCTATGTAGATCTTCAACCCATTAAAACAGGAAGCCGCATATGCTTAAATAAACAGTATTTTGCCCATAAACCTCCAAAACAACATGGACATTTCATATAACACAAACAGAATATTCAGAAAACATTGCACCATCTTTTGCCTTCTATGAACCTTGCACTCATGAATTTTGAGGACTATAGGAATTCTGCTTTTGTTCAGTGAAATTATTATAATTCATAAAACTTTTCCCAATTCATCTAGCATTTCAGGATCTCAAGGTAACAAATATAACTAGTTATTTAAATCTAACAATAGTACTGAATTCCTTAATTCCTGAGGTATCAGAAAGCACCTTATCCACCAAAGATTCTGAACTCAGCTGCAATGCTTTTAGAATATGCATCAGTTTGACCATTTAGGGAGTGATTATAAAATCACAGCCTCCTTTTGCTGTACTGAATGTAACCAGAATTCCATCCAGTTAAGCTTCCCTCAGCTTCCCTCCAACATCTACATTAACTTCATTGTTTTCCTGGTTACTATCAGCAGTGTTAAGGAATGTTTCTTTTAACTTGTACCTGGCCATCTAGTCAGCTAAACAAGGTATCCATATCTTCCAACTGAATATTCACCTTGTGAAAGGTTAGCCAGCCAGGTGACATGCTTGCCTCCTGCAGTTCAGCCACCCAGCCAGGAAGTGGCAAGTACTATCAAACAACTGTTCCCAAGATCTACAGACCAACACCGTGCAGTATGTAAGTGACAAAAGAACTATGTAACAGTGACTCAAACCTTCATCAGGGCAAAGATGATGTGTGATGCTGGTCAGATGATGTGTGATTGCCTGTTTGCAACACATAGAAATGGCACAAGAATCACCTGCTTACTGTCCTCAAGGACTAACTGTATGTGTAAATCAAGCATCAGCAGCCCAACACGAAACCATGTTCCATCAGGCATCATACAAAGCTTTTTATAATAGATTTTACTTTACAAGAAAATTAAAAAAAAACGGAAATAATACAAATTTATTTAGTAAGAGATACGGTGATATCAATACATAAAAGTTAGGATGGTGCCTCACTGAACTGACAAGTCAAAAAAAGCACGAAAAATTCTAAACAAACCTGCTGGAGCTACGAGATCTTCTTGAAGAGCTATAGCTTCTTGGGGGTGTTCTGGATCTCTTATCTTTCTTCTTTTTATCATCTCTCTCCTTTTCTCTTTCTCGCTCTTTCTCCTTATCCCCATCTTTTTCCTTTTCTTTGTCCCTGTCCTTCTCTTTGTCCTTATCTCCTTCTTTGTCCTTAATCTTTTCTCTGTCCTTCTCTCCTTCTTTCTCAATATCTTCTTTTTCTTTGTTCTGGTCTACCTCTTCCTTGTCTTTTTCCTTCTCTTTATCTTTTTCCTTTTCCCTATCCTTGTCCCTCTGTCTGTCTTTGTCCTTATCCTTTTCCCTGTCCCTATCTTTCTCTCGGGCTCTCTCTCTATCTTTGCTTCGCTCCTTATCTCTCTCCTTGTCCTTCTCTCTGTTTCTCTCTTTATCTCGCTCTCTTTCCCTGTCTTTTTCTCGGTCCCTATCCTTCTCCTTGTCTCGGTCTCTCTCTTTTTCTTTGACCTTTTCCTTTTCCTTGATCTTTTCTTTGTCTCTTTTCTTGTCCCTGTGAAAAGCCAAACACAAACCCATTAATTCATCTTTGAACTTTCCAATTAAAATTACAACTAACTTTTAGTATACATTAAGACAAAGTTTGCGTCTCTGTTGAAAAACAGTACCTCTTCAATATTTTAATTTTCCACCCTTGTTTACCATGAGGGAAACGTTATACAGCTAGGATAAATTTGGGAATCAAATCGGAGAAGGGGAGGCCAAAATCAAATCAAACCACTATCTTCCAAGTGATGTTATTATGTTTGGAGAAAGTATGTCTCTTCATCTCACAGTTACGTAATTATACATACATCAATTTTCTATATTTTCTTAGGAGTAAGACAAACTCCACAATCTGTAAATTCACTCTTTACTAGAACTGTGTCCACATAAAATGGGCCTCAGATTAACCACTCCCAAATGAATAAGACCGAAGTCTTTATTCTACGTGTTCTTGTACACAGATATCCTTGAACTGTTTGGAAGTCCAACAACAATAAATACATAGAAATAAAAAGAAAACATGGATAAAATTTCACCAGATTCTCTCAAAACTCAATCGACAATTCAATCATCTGTAATGTCATTAGGAATTTGAAAATTATTGAAAAATTGCTAGTACAGCAAAACCAGAAGCAAGGAAAATAGCTTCTGTGGGACAGGCAGAACGATAGACATTCATGAAAAGAATAGTGAGGAAAATTCCAACTCATGTTCTAGTCATCAAGTCAAACATTTATTAGCTCGCAGCTTTGGCTAGAAGATTACATTTAAGTTAGGATTATTTGAAAGTGCAAGACTCCATCTTTCCTCTCTAGCACAGAGACAAAAGAACAATTGTTCACAGAGAGAAACAGGAAAAAGTACAAGAGGAGAAATTGACTAGCAGGCCTTTACAGGTCAAAAAGAACCAGACTAACAGAAGTTGCTCTGTCTACTGGTATTAGTATCTATTCTAGATTCTTATAGATTCTAAAAGAGACTTCTTCACCCATGAAAGGTACTAAGTGCAGTCCTCACCTTCTCTCAAACTGAGGAAGTGTTTGACTGTATCTTCTCAACTACTAATAAACAGTAGACTGTTGTATGCTCTGTGATCTGACAACTTTGATTCCCATAAGGTTCTGGCAAATATTTCTTTGGGAGTCTCAGAGAAGGAATGCACCATAAAGACAAAACAGCATACAGTCCCTGCAACACCAAAGAACCTCCCAAGAAGTGCCTTCCAGTTAATTTATCACAGCGATTTCATTGGACTTGCCCCTTCCAGTGAGCAGATGTCTCAAGAAGCTCCAGACAACAACAAGAGAATCAAAAAGATTCACCAATAAAACCCAGCTTATTTTCAGTGAGGTCCACAGATCTGCAGTTCTTATTCCCACAGAACTTCTTCCCTCAAAGAACAGTAGGCAACTGTATAACTCAAGTACAAAGCTCCCTTCGAATGTATCAGGGGAATTACAGAGATGAAACAGAAAGAGAGTACCAAGATTTCTAGTCATGAAGCTACTTTTCCCCAGGCACTTTTGGTTTGAGATTATTCACTACTTCATCCCTCAGAAAATTATGGTATTCTCTTGTTGGAATTTTACAGTTCAATAATTAGACAATCAGATATAAAAACTAATAGGCTAGATAAAGTACAGTTGTATTACATCCTGAAATATAAATATGCCATATAACAGACATGTGCATTTGTTCCTGCTGTTTGGCATATGATAAAGTCAGAGGTGAAAACAAAAGCTCATACACAAAAACTTTTTACTACTTCTCAGAATACAGGATATTGAGGTCAGTTTGAATTCAACCTTCTTAACACATACATATCGAAAAAGCTTCATCCACTTTTTTGTGGCTTACACAAGCTACATAGAATATTCCTAATCTATTGGTTATAGCCTGAATTAAAGTTACCTATTTTCAGTCAGCTGGGATGTTGGTATAAATGCAGACTAGGCTATCAAGTTCAGGTACCTCAGTGTGGTCGTTTAACTGCAGTACCATACAGGTTACAAGGAAGAAAATTATCCTAGCCAAGATCACCACACTCAGCATTAAAATTTACTTTCTGTTGTTTGTCCTACAGACAAGATTCCACCTTTTATGATCATCTAAAAGGTTTGTTTAATTTTTTTTCAAAAGCTCTGTACTGTGAGCTAACAGTATCATTTCGTGGAACAGAACTCACCGAGAACGAGAGCGACTTCTTGATTTCCGCCTTTCTGAAGATCTAGACCGTTTTTTCAGGGGACTTCTGGATCTGCGTCTGTCCTTGTGTCTTGAGAGAGATCTGTTGCCTGATCTACTTCTATATGAAGGATGCCAGAACAAAAATATTTTAATATTGGAACCTCATAAAAATGGGGTCAACCAACAAAGGAAAGTTTACATAAATCTTGCTTCACCACATACTACTATATAAATAATTACACTTTAGTAACATACTGTCTACAAACATTTTTGCAAATATTGGTGCTTTATGCTTCACCAGATGCACATACTCTTCTTTGAAACAACGAACCATTGAAGTTATACCCATGTTTCATAATAATCTCCATGAACATTCTGGAAAATATAAATTAATATCATTTACAACAGCTGTCCTTACGAAATGACACTGCATAAAAAGCTGTGATTTGCGATTTCTAGCAGTTTGTAAAAGTAATTAGTTACAGATTACTTCCTTTCCAGGCCCAGCCACTTATTGAAGTCTTTGTCAGTGAAGAAAGCTGGTTTTGGCTGCAGTGTTCTCCACCCTTACAATTTAAATTAATAGAAACCCCAACAACCTGTGATTCAGCATTTAGTCAAGTTACCTTTTTAGTTGAGAGGACCTGTTAGTATGGATTGCAGTTATAAGAACTTCCAGAGAAAGGAAAGAGTGTTTACTACATGATAAATAAGGAATGTAAATAAAGTAGAGATACTGTGATAAAAAAATGCAATTAGTCTTCTGCAGATCTGATGAAGAAAACAACACTTTTAGATTTCCCTATTTTTTGAAAATCGTTTTCCCCAGAAAAGCAAATAGAGAGCTGAATCTGCACTTTAAGTTTCACAACTTAGGCAGATTTCGACCTACTCAGAAGACTGGTTCAGAGGGCACCTTGGGAAACAGCCCTTGAAAACAAAGGGGTCCAGGAGCGATGGACATGCTTCAAGAAACAAGTCTTGAACACACAGGAGCAGGCTGTCCCAGTGTGCCAAAAGGCAAGTTGGTGGGGAAGATAGCCAACCTGACTGAATAGGGAGATTTTGAAGGAAATTAGGGGAAAAAAGACAGCCACCAATTATAGAAAAAAGGGCTGGCTACTCAGGAAGAGTTTAGGACTATAGTTAGGTCATGCAGAAAGAAAATTAGAGAGACAAAGGCACAATTTGAACTCAATCTAGCCACTTCTGTTAGGGATAACAAGAAGTACTTCTACAAATACATCAACAGCAAAAGGAGGGGCAAGGAAAACCTCCAGTTCTTTGTTGGACATGGGGAGGAACATAGTCACTAAAGATGGACGAAAAGGCTGAGGTATTTAACACCTTCTTTGCCTCAGTTTTCAACAGTAAGACAGGTTGTCCTCAGGACAACTGGCCTCTGGAGCTGGTAGACAGAAACAGGAATCTGAACAGCCCCCCTGTAATGTACGAGGAAACAGCAACCTGCTGAGCCACTTGGATCCTCACAAGTCTGTGGGACCAGATGGGATCCACCCAAGGGTGATCAAGGGTGATGAAGGAGCTGGCAGAAGAGCTCGCCAAGCCGCTCTCCATCATCTACCAACAGTCCTGGCTCACTGGGGAGGGCCCAGATGATTGGAAGTTGGCGAATGTCACGATGATCCACAAAAAGAGCTGCAAGGAAACTACAGGCCCATCAGCCTGACCTCAGTGCCTGGCAAGGTTATGGAGTAGATCATCCTAAGTGCAGTCACACAGCACCTACGGGATGGACAAGGGATCAGACTCAGCCAACACGGGTTTAGGAGGGGCAGGTCCTGCCTGACCAACCTGATCTCCTTTTATGATCAGGTGACCCGCCTGGTGGATGAGGGGAAGGCTGTGGATGCGGTCTGTCTGGACTTCAGCAAAGCCTTTGTCACTGTCTCCCACAGCATTCTCCTGAAAAAGCTGTCAGCCCATGGCTTGGACAGGGGCACTCTGTGCTGGGTTAGGAACTGGCTGGAGGGCTGGGCCCAGAGAGTGGTGGTGAACGGGGCTGCATCCAGTTGGCAACCAATCACTAGTGGTGTTCCCCAGGAATCAGTGTTGGGCCCAGTTCTACTTAGTATCTTTTCTGATGATCTGGATGAGGGGATCAAGTGTACCATTAGTAAATTTGCAGATGACACCAAGATGGGGGGGAGTGTTGATCAGCTGGAAGGCAGGAGGGCTCTGCGGAGGGACTTGGACCAGTTGGAGATGGTCTGATTCCAATGGGATGAGGTTCAACAAGGCCAAGTGCCGGGTCCTGCACTTTGGCTACAACAACCCCCTGCAGTGCTACAGGCTGGGCACAGAGTGGCTGGAGAACAGCCAGGCAGAGAGGGACCTGGGAGTTTGGATTGACAGGAAACTGAACATGAGCCAGCAGTGTGCCCAGGTGGCCAAGAAGGCCAATGGATCCTGGCCTGGATCAGGAACATCGTGGCAGCAGAAGTAGGGAAGGTGATTCTTCCCTTGTACTCAGCATTGGCGAGGCCACACCTTGAGTACTGTGTCCAGTTCTGGGCCCCTCAGTTCAGGAAGGAAATTGAGGTGCTGGAGCAGGTCCAGAGAAGAGCAACAAGGCTGAGGGAGCTGGGGTTGTTTAGCCTGGAGGAGGCTCAGGGGAGACCTCATCACTCTCTACAACTACCTGAAAGAAGGTTGTAGCCAGGTGAGGGTTGGTCTCTTCTCCCAGGCAGAAGGACAAAAGGGCATGGTCTTAAGCTCTGCCAGGGGAGGTTTAGGATGGATATTAGGAAGAAATGTTTTACAGAGGGAGTGATCAGACATTGGAATGGGCTGCCCAGAGAGGTGGTGGATTCACCATCCCTGAAGGTTTTTAAGATGAAACTGGATGTGGCACTTAGTGCCATGGTCTAGCAACCAAGGTGGTGTTGGATCAAGGGCTGGACTTGATGATCTTGGGAGGTCTTTTTCAACCTAGTCAATTCTAGGATTCTATACCACATAACTGGATACTCTGCCTGAGAGGTTAAGGTACCATGAAGTTTAACTTATGAAAGACAGAAAGATCACATATATTATCATGTGTAATATACACAAAGACAAGGGGAACCCATTGTTTACTTACAGCTTTGTTCTGCTTATCAACACAGAAGCACAAACCAAAGGCAGGGCCAATTAATGGCAATTGAATGAAAGCACAAGCTTGAATAAATTTTAAGTCACAAGAGATGAAAACAATGTGTTTTATAAAAGAGTCAACAGGGAAGTGGTAAGGATAGATTATTCTTGCACTTCTAAAGCCTGTACTTGTACCATATTTATTTGATAGTATAACTGATTATAACTCCTTCTGGTCAGCTTTTCCGTATGTCAAAGAATCCTAGTTGCCTTGTTAAAAGACATGCATGAAAGGATGCAACAGAGCTAGTGCTGCAATAAGGACAACACCTTTTTAAAGTGTAAGCTATCAAATGGAATCATTCCAAATTTTTTTTTAAATACTTAACAAAGCCAAATATCTCTAGATTGATGCTCAGAAGACATTCCTGACATTGCAAGGAGATGGATCATTTCAGGAAACGTTTACTACTCTCCCATAGCAAGACTGTTATATTCTTGGAAAAAATCTTAATTGGTATACTTCAAGGATGATCTAATAATTCTCTCCTATCCCATATTCCAAAGCCTGAAGTTCTTCAGAACTGAAGAAATTTAGCAATGCAAACAAAATCTGAAGAACGAAAACTTGCCCATAAAGCCTTTTTCCTATGTTTTTAAAAACCACAGCTTTACATTTACAGGATGGTAAATACAACCATTGTATTTATTAACTCAGTATTTAGAAGTTCAAGACAATACGAATTTTATACCAGCAAAACCAGCCAGCCTATCTGCTCATGGTGTTACCAGTAAAACTACACACTCAATTCACCAAATGCAAGTTTCTTAAGACAGGTCATAAAATCATATTATGCTACATACCATAAAATGTACAAAGAAACCACAGAAATTGTTGTTGCATGGCATAAAAAGTGTCTTCTAGTGTGTTTTAACTGAAAGTAATCCTGAAAACATTTAGGATTTAGAGGGAAAGGGTATCTGTTCAGAGACAAAGTTCCTGGTAACTCTGGTCTGCTGAGTGCAAGCTAGTAATCTCTTCAGGGATACTCGTCCTATAACTAAGAAACCTCAGTAACCACCATCAAGCAAAATATTCCCAATATGATCTTCGTCTAAAACAAAAAACATACCTACCTGTGTTTTGAGTGTGATCTTTTCCTTCTAGATCGGGATTTTGAGCTAGACCTGGATTCTGAACGAGAATGGGAACGAGATCGACCGCCTTTTCTTTCACTGCTCTTTCCAGACTCTGAGAGGAAAAAACCACTTTGCAGTGTAAGCTCAGAACATTTAAAGATCCCAGTTAACAATCTGGCACAAGTGGAATGTACCACATGTACTGCAAGGGGCCTACTCTCTGCACATCTTCCTTCTTTGCAAATATCCTTCAGAAACATCCAAGAAAGTCATTGCATATACTCGTTGAGTGCAGCCATCCTGCAGCAGTACACATAAACCAGATAATTATAAACAGCTAGCTCTACTAAGAATGGGATTTATGTTGCTGCCACAAAGCACAAGATCATAACACATCTTCCTCTTGGTCAATTATTTAATTATTTTTTTAAAATAACCTGAGAAGAATAAAGTAAATTTAGAGGGCGTAATTTTAAAAACAAGCATAAAATTTAAATAATAATTAGTACTGTCTACACTTTCAGATATTTCAACCACTGTACAAATACAAAAATTTTATTCCTCAAACACTGTTTATGGAAGGAAGGAATGAACAGAACATGGTGAAAAGTCTGATCTGAAAACCAGGAAGTCAACAGAAACCTTAATAGTGATCTCACAATGGTTCACACCATAGGAGACTCTTATTCTGTTGCTTAACAGTGAAAAAATGTTAGAGCTATTTTTAATCTAACTCTAAAATGCTACAGAAAACACTTCTCCCCAAAAAACCCTCAAGACTCCACTTCATCTAATATGCATAAGACAACATCTGGGTTTGCTAGTACAAAGAATGGCAAAAAGTTGCTGGTGAAAAGAATTAAGATCTCAACAGCAAGTTTAATAAGTTGAGAATTTTTATGCTACGGTTTTGCAATAGTTTAAGCCAGCAAAAATCAGCATTGGAATGTCTGTCTAACCTCTCAACACACAAACACCTTCCTCTTTGACTTTGCATCTGTGTCAACAGGGAATAAGGAAACAATCTGGATGAAAACAAGTCTTCTAAAATATGTTAAGTTTTATTCCAGATTCATTCTCTGATCCCATGTGCTATGAGGATGTATACAGTCTTGAGCCATCATGAAAAAGAGACAAAATTAACCTGTTGCAGATAAGGAAAGCATAATATTACTGCTTTCAGAACCATGCTGATCATTAAACTACGGCACTCGTGTGCTAGAGGAGAATAAAAAAAATATAAAGCATTTTCTTTTAAAAGTTTCCACATGCTCTGAACTTAAAAAGAGTCAAAGTATTGATTTCTAAAAATTTTTATTTTTGAAAACATTAACTGAACATGTATATGAAAAAAACACATGAAATAAAAAGCTTCATTCCACTTCTTTGTTGCATGAATAAAATTTTGATTATTCTCCTATTTTTTACCAACACATACTGAATACCTTTAAGTATCCTCTTCCTGTGTCTGAAAATGCTCTTAAAAGTGTGTGCCAAGGTACATAGAGATTGCATCTGTTAGCTACTGAACACAATATACCTACCTGGTTCAATAGCAGCAGATATGAAAGACTGGGCTTCCCTTACTCTCTTCATCACTTCTTCCAGCTCCTTAGCAGCAGCCTGTGGTGTCATTTCAGGAGGCTTCACTATTGCATTATTGGAGTGATTTATTCTAAGGAAAAATAAAAACATTTAATTCTTAAACACTTGAAAAGTAAAAACAAAAAACAAGAAAGAAAAACTTTAAAGTTCAGCAAAACTACAGATTTGTGCTAATACTCATTTTTTCCAAGTATCTGAAATATCTTTTGTTACTTTCAAATATTACCACTTTTAGAAACAGGCAGCACAATATTTCTCTGTTACAGTATTTTTAGTAGAAGTCTAGGAAGCTATTTCTGTATTTCATATAAAATCTCTATGCTAAGACCTACTAATTACATACGCATCATACAGAAAACTTAGCCCTAAGGACTTTGCAAATTCTTTCACTACTATAGCCTCCACTACCTCAAGATTAATAGATATTATTTTACTCAATGCTACCCATATTATTCTGAGAGAAACTTATGCTAAACCTTGAAATTGGAATTGATAAGAATGTTCCAGTTTGTTAACATTAAGTTCTCATACTGAAAAACTAGTAACAGCATTTTCCTACACATCAGAGTCATAAACGTATATACAAGGATACAAAGAAATCTCTCATTCAGTAGTCATATGGATAACTAATTTCTTACTTCAGTGGCCTGTCTCCAAACATAACTCCATTAAAGGCAAGAGCTCGAGGTACAGAATTTTGGTCAGCAAATTCCACAAAAGCAAATCGTGTTGGCTGAGTCTCATCACCTGCCATTCGCACAAATTTGACTTCTCCAACTTGCTTGAAGAATTCAAGCAGCTGATCTGCTGTTGTAGTCTAAAAAGAGTCAAAAAGTAGAATATATAACAAAACCCACTTATAGAATATACCCGGTAGTCTAAGAGCTACAGATTTTGGAATGATGTCTCACCATTACTACACAGATGGCATGAATTTAGTAATGTTACACTAAAAAGAAAAAAAAAGACATGTATTTTTTCTTCCATTAATCTAAAGAATTCATGCTTTATGGTGAACTTGCCACCGGCTGCCGCAAGAGAGGAGCCCCGAAGAGGAGATACAAGGACTCCCTGAAACAACATCTCAGCCTTGGCCATATTGATCTTTATCACTGGTCTACTCTGGCCTCCAATCGGGAGGTCGGGAGACACACAGTTCATAACGCTGCTACTTCCTTTGAGAACACACGCAGGATCACTCTCGAGGAGAAAAGACAACGCAGAAAGAACCGTGTCTTGCCGATACCATCCAAGGAGTCTTTCTGCTGTGCCTTTTGCAACCAGACTTGTCTATCTCACACTGGCCTCTTTAGCCACCAGCGTGCTTGTAGCAAATGTGCGTAGAGTCCTTCCCAAATCTTCGTTCGCGAAGCCCGGCCATGATGATGGAATCTAAAGAATATTCTGTGATTTAAAACAGTGCAGCCACAAGCCCTTAGTTCTTCGTCTAGGTTAAAAAACCCACATTTGCACAGGATTTTGCACTTTTCAGGCAACTCATCTGAAATAACTGATGAGGAATTTCCTTATACACCTGTATACAAGCTGATTATGACTTTTGATCAATTAAAAAAAATATCCAAAGAACATTAAAAGACTTAGCTTCATGTGGTTTTCTATTATTTTTCAGTTTATCATGATCAGTAGTACTTTTACACTCAGTAGCTACTTCACCAGTCAAAAAACCCCAAAATGTAATACTTAAATTGTTATCAGTCAAAAGTAAGTATTTTTCAATTCATTCAATCAACTGTTGAAAAACCAAGTTGATGACTGAAAGGTATTTATGTTAATTTTCAACTTCCACTAAGACAGATCACTCCATCTTACTAAGCAACTTCACAGTGCTGTGGGAGACAGCTACCATGATCTCATGACTTCTGAGGCACTGCTAACCTAACACAACCCAACTGGACATTTGATCAGCATGCACAACTGTTAAGTGTGTTTCTTGAATTCAGCTATAGTGTGACTTCTCTGACAGAATGAGTTCCAGAGCCTGGTCTGATCTGATTGGCACAGGAGCATTCAAAATATCATGAATAAGCAACAAAATTTAGGAGGTTTTGTTTAAATTTATGTTGCTGTTTACTGATGTAAAATCTTTAACTGTTAAGATTAGAATTCATAAATTACAATTTCACACCTTCCATTAGTATTTCTACAACACAAAAAACCCCAAAAGCTACCTGGGAATTTAAGTTTCCAACATAGACTGTTCTCCTGATTTCATCAATTTTGGATGGATCCACATTTCCCATAATTGGTGGTTGTGGTATTTCTCCCAGTGCTGTAATGTTAGGGTCCAATGCTGCTGCTGGTATAGCCCCTAAAGTGCCAAGTGAAACACCAAGCTGAAAAACACAAAAACAGAATATACTTTCCAACCATGCACTAGTGGGAGACAATTCACTTCTTAATACTTGCCTGCCTTGACCGTTTGTATATAAATAGATCTAATAAAAATAGGCAGTACTTTAAGGTCACAGTACAGCAAGTTTTTTTACAAAACAAAAATACACCCATAAATAGCCTTCTATAGTTAAGATTTGCTGTGGGTTATCAATTAACATCTTATCAAAGAGCTCTGGACAGGGACCAGTGTATATGTAGTGTATCAATCACAAAACATAGAGGCTTCAATTTTTAATGCTTAGATTGAATAAGATACCTTCGGACACTGCTAATGTTCTTATTTTTTTGACACAACAAGTATTTGGACTAGATGAGAAACGGTCAAGACCTTGCCCAGCAAGAATAGAAGGTAATTTGCAATGCTCAGTGCTGACAGATCATCAGTCCATCAAAAGGAAACATAAGGCACCTTTTAGACAAATAAACTACGTAAGTCAAGATTAATTACAGCTGAAATGCAAAGGATATTCAGTCTAAGTTCTTTCCCTCACTCCTAGAGGAAAATATATCTCTCATGTTTGGAACTGGACATCGAACTCTCTCCTGGGAAACATTAGAAAAAGTCTCTTAAAAATCACTACAAAGTTGGCCCACTGAGTTCCTGGTTTGAATTTTATTTTCTCTACCCAAAAAGCAACTGCCTTTCCCATAAACAAATTTTCTAACTAGCCATGAGTAATTTTTTTTATGTAACAAAGGAAAAAACTACTCTATTTTAACTTGAAATTTTCCCTGCAGCTTGCTGATGTCAAGAAAGGCTTACAGAGGCAAAAGGGAATTGAGCAGGAAGTAGCAGCACCAAGCTGCTACTTTTTGTAGTGAAAACATTGTTAGACAAACAGTGAAAAACCTTTCTGTAGAGGTATCAAGTAAAAATCTCTCTACTGCAGCAGTTTAATATTCTGAAGAATGGTGTCAATGTAACTATTAGGTTTTAATAAATTTTTAGGAGGTGGATAGCACTTCCACTTGACCAAATAAAAGGCTCTAGGGCAGGACAACAATTAAAATGGACAACCACCAAAACCAACACTTACCCACTGTTTTGCAAAATAATAATCTGAAAGAAAAACCCAGAAACATTGTGCATGGACACCTGATGAATCCTCAGCAAGCCTTTAGCACCAAAGTTAAACTCTCACTGCAAAATCCATGGATCAGACGGTTCTTGTTCTCTGCACACAGAAAAGGCTAGAGCACAGAGGAAACCAGAAATTAAACAGCTACTGAATTTTACTTACTGTAGTCAAAGGGGTTGGTGTGGGTATGGGAAGCAACCCTGCACCAGGCATCAGACTTGTCATAGTAGGAGCAGGCGCCAATAGAGAGAGGGCTTTCGCTTCATCTGGGATTTTACCTGAAGAAGCAAATGAAAACATTACACAGAGTTTGAACACTAGACAGATGTTACTCTTTCTATGATTTTACAATTACCCTTGCATTTAAAAATGTAATAAAAAACAATGAATCTATCTACCAGATCCTTACAAAGAAACAAATAAGAACTTAAGTTTTTCCTTTTACCCTGCTCTACTAGGAAAAACAAAAGTGAGAAAAATTTCAAAGACTAGCAATCTCATTAATGGATTATTATTTTAAAAACTGAATAATGTATACAATTATTTAACACTTTGAGCTATGGGTCACCTGTACTGGAAACTTAACGTTCATGAACCAAACGATATCAAGCATGGACGCTTTCCCAGGGCGGTGTTTTCGCGGTGATCGAAAGTTGTTTTACACATGACAACCGTTCGTGTTGGCTGCATCACTAATAGCACACAGAACATCAGATACAGAAAAGAAGAACATTTTTTAAAGTTTAATCCCCAGAAATGGCAAATAACCAAATCAGTAAAAGAAAGAAAAACAAAAAAAGAAAAAAACAAGTATGTGCTAACTGAAATTTGCGCTCTTCTTTATTCCTCTGGTGCTACCTACTTAGAATGTAAAAACAAGTAAAACATAAAATAAAAAAACTACTGAACTACAGTGACTGCACACAATACATACTCCAAGTGAACCTGAAGGTGGAGGAGGGAAGAGCAGAAAAAATTTAGATTTGTACTGTCCCACATTGTAGGTCACCTCAGTTTATGGGAAACTTTGATAAATTTACTTTAAATTTACTGAGACTGAAGAAAATCATAACTGATCAGCTAAGCAAGCTCTATTTTCCCAGAATATGTATTCCCTGCTCTTTCAACCTGATTATAATCCTACCGCCATGCTAAAAGTTTAAGTAATAACTAATCCGAATTAAATGCAGGTTTCATTCAATGTTAGTCACAATTAGACTATTAAATGAACCCCAAAAATCTCCAAAAATCAAAAGATTTAATAGTCAAACAATTAGGATTACAATTAAATGTACATTTTAAATTTGAAATGCAAAGGGATTTAAACTGGTACAAACATTAAACACTAAAATAAAAACCTATCAAAAGAAGTTCTAATTATACTAGGTATCTATGATCTGTTCAACATCACTGGCATAACTGTACATTTGCTAACCAGCTAAGCCCTTTGGTATTACCACATGAACCATAATAAAGTAAATGCTCTTATTTAAACATTGTTCTAATGTTTAAATGGTCAAGGAACATACAAAAGCTGTGCCAGTGGCTTTTACGGTTTTGATTCAAACTACGGATGTTTTAACTTACAAGACCTCTAAATTCAAAATTAAAATACAAATATTCTTATCAAAAAGCAAAACATGAGGTATGTTTCAAAACACCACGCAGTTTTAGCTATATGAGTTCCAACTGACCCCATGGACACCTACTACTTTAAAAAATGAAATTAAAAAACTTTTGCAAACCTATTTTACAGATCTGCAGGAAAGACTGGGTAACATTTGGATATGACCAAAGGACAAAAAATATCTAAATGAAATTGAATTTGTATGTAGCATGGGTAGAACAGAAAAGATAAAGTAACAGTACCCATTTAATTTCATGCTTCCTATTTACATTTATTTTATTTATGTTAAACTTTGAGACACTTTCCTCCTTAACATGTAAGAAACCACTCGATTTTGCTATCTAAAGGAGAAAAATAGGAAAATTGTTAGCACTTAAGAATTAACTGTGCAATAATGAATTCCAGGGCTTTTTTTAAAAAACATGCATGAATCTAAGCCACCATCACAATGTTCGGCACCCTTCACAGATCTCATTTTGAAGTCAGGCATGCAATGAGAGGTGTACCTGACTGCTCAAAAGTATCATGTACTTTGCTGCATACCCTGCCTAATATGCTGCCAACTAAAAGGCTTTTGAATATATAGTTCCAGCAGCTGTGCATGCAAATTAGGCACAGAATTATGTACCAATTCTGCTGACAAACTAAATACTTAAGTACTTTCAAATGACTAGTGAACCAGAATTTATCCTGAACAGTGAATATCTTGCAATTTGTGCAGCTTTCTACGGATCAAGAGATATTGCACAAGTAAATCCGATGGCAGACGTGGCTCCTGAAGTGGTGTGTCTGCATGCTAATTGAGATCCTTGGTCAGTAATGTACATAAGCATATGCCTAATTCAAGCATGCACTTACATACAGCCAATTCAACACACACTTAATCAGGTAAACTTACAAAATACACTTAGGCACTTGGCCTTTTTAAACAGGAATTGGGTTAGGCACATAACTAAGAAGGACAAGTCAAGACTTAAACAGAAGCCTAAACTTTAAGTATATGCATCATGGCATTGAAATAATTGGAACTACTAATTTGCTCAAGTGTTTTTAAAGGAATCCACTGAACATTTCAGTTCAATTCACCATTATAGCAGCTCAAAGAATGAACAGCATGCATATGTAAATTGTAAAGTTTGCAGCATTATTTCCAGAATACTTTGGTCTTTAACAATGTAAAGTTTTAAAATACAAAATCTAGTCCATCAGTTCAATACCACAAAAAAAGATTATTTATTTTGTTTTCAAGAAAGAGAAAGGGTCTATCTCTACAGACACAACCCAAAAATTTGCCTGGATATTCAAAGATAGTGTCTTTTCAAATATCTTTTCCAGTTTTTAAGACCAGGCCAAAATTCTATGGAACACTGTTGTGGGGAAATAAAAATCTGCAATGTCTTAGAAACCTACTTCCCTGTTTTTTAAACGGTTTTAAAAAACAAATTAATATGCGAGACCAAATACCCTCACGAGTATTTTGGAATTCTATCTCTGTGAATTTATTTATAAAAGGAATACAAGTTCACAAAAATACAATAAAACATGTGGGGTTTGACACAACAGATTAGTATAATTTAGTTTAAAAATAACACTTTCATTTTTAAAACATGGTATTTAAAACCTGAATGGAAATGAGGTGAAGATATTTATTTGCTAATGAGGGAAACAGACAATATAAATATGCCACATCTACACCCCATTTCTTAGAAGCTCTTCTGCTTAGTAAATTACAATTTCTATGATCAATTATTTATTGATTCTTTACTTTGCAAAGGAATCTGGAAGCAAATGTAGATTAGCTCACCACTGCCTATAAACAGTTGTGATTGCTACTTTTTTGTATCATCGAAGTCTTAAGAGCTGTAGTAAGCCTAGTCCATACCAGAACCCATTTTGATGAAGGCTGAATAGAAGTACCTGCATTAAACAAGTACTAATCACAGTATTTATTCCTCAAGTGCTCAGAAAAAATTAATTTCCTACTATTTGTAGTGAAACTACACAGTTAATCCTCACCCCCAAAAATGCGTCTGCAATAAGTTTGTTTTTTAAAAATACTGTTCACAACTACTCTAAACATAACAGTACTTATTTTCCTTCTATTTTAAATCAATGGAACGTGTACACTTACGAATAAAATACTTCATGTGATCCAACTCATGAATCTTAGTGGATTTAGCAGCAGCAAATAAAGACATGACAGCTACTGGCAATTACCTCAACTGCCAAATCCAATAAAAATCATCAAGCAAAGCTCTTTTCAGAGTGAAACCAACAGATCCCAATGCAGCTGGCTGGGAAGAGCAATGCCTGAAGACTAGACACAGCACCTTGTTCACCACTTCTGTTTCAGGGCTCCCATTTCACAGGAAGTGAAAACATCATTTAGGGATGAGAACCGTCTCAATCACTCCAGCATGAACTGCCAGGGCTTCTGAGACTGTGAGATGATGGAGAAAACACTTTTTTTTCTGACTTTTCTTTTTTTAAACCTCTTCTTCAAATAATTACCACTGCAGGATGTCAAAAATGCAAGTATATACACACATACGCGCACACACACAGAGAACTGATTCAATCTTCTCACAAATAACAGTGTTTAAAGACAACGTGTCTCACGTAACACATTCCAACCAAAATTCCAGGCTGCATTTGTACTTATGAGTGGTAAACAGTCTTTTACAAAAATTACAAGAAAAGGATGAAATCTTCCTGTCACTGACCTCACTGCAGCAAGGTTTCATCAAAAGTAAACAAATATTTCACGACATTCAATATTCATAAAAGTTGTTTCAGAAATAATTATTTTAAGCTCATCACATTAGACATAAATAATCAGCCTTCTTTTAAATAGACAGTGCAACCTAAAATAAAACACTCTGCTGAGGAAAACAGCAGAGAAAAATCATGACTTTACTTTCTAAAGTTGGTTTCTCCAGAAGCATGAGTCTCAACTGTCCTTTTCCAAGAAGAACTCATAAAACACAACATATGAAAGAATGTATCTCAAAACTGTTCCTGCCTTCTGACACGATGTGCTCATCTGTTGAATTTAGATGCTTAAATGTATTCTAAATCAAATTTATCCTTAATTCACAGCATTGAAGATGAATCATATTCTAAATTCTCTGTATACCATCCACCATTCATAAGCAGCTTCAGGTCAACTTCAAGGTCAAACACTGTGAACCCTTTACAAACATCATTTTTACAGAACTGAAGTACCAGTTCACAAGTACAAGGGAAAGAGATTTAACAGAACAAAACAAAAAAGGGACAAAATAAAATAAAAATAAAAGAAACAAAGGAAAGAAATCAAAATAAAATAAAAACAGAGACAGGGCGTCCATCTTCAGCAGGCCAGACTTCGATCTCATTTCCCCCATGAAGGTTTCACTTGGCGGCAGGTTTAGTGGCATGGCAAACAATGCCTAACTCAGGCAAGTGTAACAGGTCTGCCTTGGCCAGTCTAGTCATCTAATAATGCACAAATATCACACAGAGAAAACATACAAAACCAAATTAATAGTCAAAATCCATCTACCAGATAATGTGGACATAAAATTTAGAATGATTAGGGTGGCATCTTTGTTTAGCTTTCAACCTTTGCGTTTTCAAAGTATATTTAAAGAAAAACCTACCAATACACACACAAACAAGTCATATTTTAACATCTTAGTAATCTTACTTCACTTACAATTACATTTTTGTTAAATCGTTATACTAAATGTCATATAATTAAGACTGATTTCATTCTGTAGTGATTCCCTCCTCATACACCCTTGATTTACCACTGTTTAAATACATTCCCAATTTCAGATTTTATTCTCTTTTAAAAAACTGGGTTTTCAGAGTTCATTTCACCTCTCTCTTATGTTCAACTTGGCGCAAGAAATGTTTTATTACTGGCACTGTTGGACAATTACATAATTTTACCTCCTGGCAGAATAAAGCCATCACTACTTTTAAAGCCCGTGATCCACTCCACTGACTCCATTAACAATGCATCATATGACACATATTGAATCAAAAACCTTGAGCTGTGGTCTCCAAAGTCATATTTATTCCACACAATAAATTAATCAGAAAGTTAAATCTGTATAATTCACATCTTTTTATAAATGCTTATAATAAAAAGTTACATGAAAACAGCATTCTGACATTAAAAAAAGAAGTTACCTCAAAACCCAATCACTTGTTCACCTAATTATACATACATTTCTGTGGAGTCTAGAATGATTTTGAAGAGTGACATTTTAATACAGTTTCTCAGAAACACCTAATAAGTCAGCTACAAATAAGAGTCGGAACAAGATTTGTCAGAACTTTGATTTTTTTCTCCTTCCACTCATTGTCTACCACCAACAGACAGGAAAAATGTAGCTTTACCTGCCTGTTGCCATATCATGTCAGGCAGTAATCTCATCAGAAGAAAAACACCAGGAGGTGTGTTCACTCATTAGGCAACAATCTTCCCTCTCTGGAAGTACTGAACCAGTGTTAACATCTTTTTGACAAAATGTAAAACTAAGATCCTGAATAAACCTTAGTCAATGTATTTAGGGGCAATTTTCCAACTGGGGACTCTGATCCCCTTAGCCTATACACAGTTGCAAGTGGATACAGCCATATTCTCTTTGTGGTTTTAGAACAAGTTCAAAATATGAAACCAAAAAGGCCCTAAAACAAGGCACAGAAGCAACTAAAAATCTAGGCTTTACAAAGACAAATGTGCGATATGCCCCTAGTAAGAAGGCTACAAGAACAGGCAGGTCAGATGTAGGTCAATATGGCCTTTAGTGAAAAGTACTTACAGGGTTTCTGAAATTTTGAAGACCTGGCAGAGTTTGCTAAGAAAATCCCAGATGATTATTACAGCAGTGCTTATCTCACACTATCTAGATCATGATGTGGCAAACAAGCCGAAAAACAGTACTCTGGGACCATCGTTAACAAACTCTAGGAAGTTAACAGTATTTTTTTGAACTCTTGCAGTTAGAGATGTATAAGGGGTATTTCTGGACTTGCTGCAATTCATGGTTCAACCACTATACATATTGTTCATGGCAAAGCTACCAGGTTGAAAGTGAAGTCAGGTTCACTCCATCAGCTGGAATGATTCCACTCCAAAGAGGCAAAAGGGCCAGAACTAAACAGTTAGATGCTCGATTACACAATGATCCCAATGAAGTCAATGGGGCTCTGCCTAACTCCAACAAAAATGCCTACCTTAGGACCACGCTTCAGGTAACTGTATTCAGATCTAGGATACTATACTAACAATACAAGCTGTCTTGTATTCAATATATCCATAAAAGTGTGGCCTCAAGCTAGGTAAAGGAACATTTGCCAATTTAGTATTCATCAAGCATTTTGTTTTTTTAAGAGTTTTTAAAAGCATTTTATGATGGAAGCATTCTGTACAGATCACTGCTTATTTAAGGAGATATCTAAAACCAAAGAGAAGTATTGCTATAGATAAGAAAAGCTTTATGACACATAAAGTAACATTTTCAACAGTAACATGAAAGAAAAATTCCTTTTAAAAAATAAAGCTAACAGGTAAACATTTCTATTCAAAAGTAACTATCACCATGAATGCTAAATATTTTAGCATTCTAAATATTTAGATGACTCTAAAATGGTCAAATCCATATATTGCACGTCTACAAGAGAAAATTGGGATGTACTCTTAAACAATGCAAAAATAATCATTGTCTTAAAAAAAAAATCACAAGTCAACAAAAAATCCACTACACCAAAGGTGATGCATTAAGATTCAAACTCCAATGTTATTGTGTCAGGAAACTGTCTGATCTTTTCAGAGCTCCATTGACTTCAGTGAGCACTCTGTGTAAGAATAACCTTGCCAACACAAACCATAGTGAATTATTTTACTTTTTTCCCCCTCAAAATATGTGATGATTATGGAAAACCGAATTATAATTTAAATCAACTACCTTATTGCTAATGCTGAATTTCAATTAAATCTGTATCATTGGGTTTCCTCATTCCATTTTCAATTTTGATTCAAGACTTTTCTCTCAAAAAGCAATAAAATAAAACAAAAGAACAACAGAGCACCACCTTTTTACATGGAAAGCTTAAAACACTGAACAGACACAACAAAGACCAATAGTACAAAAGAATGTCTAAAATACCAACCTTCTGCGCAGGGAACAACTATCAAAGCTCTGTCAATAAAAACCGTGTTAGTTAGATGCTGGGCCACACCAACACTTGATGCTTCACGAAACTTAATATAACATACTTTGGAGGAAAAAGCAAGAGGTGCGTTGCTGCAAGATAAAATGAAAAAAACCAGTTACTCATACTAAAAAACTGCATGTACATATTTTTAACTATTACTTCTTAATAAAAAAGGGTTTAGACTAGGTGAGTTGCTGCAAGATAAAAGGAAAAAAAACAATCAGTCATATTAAATAATTGCTTGCATGTATTTTTAACTATTACTCCTTAAGGAAAAAAAAGGTTTTACACTTCCTAGAAAAGTTAGTCATAAGAGTATAGAAATCTACTAATTTGCCTACTTACTATGTCACTGAAAGAAGCATAGTGTAGCACCTCCTTCTTTTTAATGAAAATTTATGAAACCAAAATCACTAATCAAAAAGGCTAATTTTCTTTTATAATCTTGGCACACAACACTGAATAGTAGTTCCAACTTACTGTTTTAAGTAGCATATTTACTTGATGCATTTGTCAAGTAAATAATTTATAGTTTATCTTTTTTTCTCCAAATAAACCTTGTTGAGGAAAGCCAAACAACAAACCCTGCCATTTTTCAGTGGGTCCTTCAGATACTAGCCTGTAATAACTAATATTTTTTCTTTGGTTTTCATAAAAGCTGTTTTATTAATTCTTATTAAAATAAAAGCAGTTATTGAGAGTTCTTTCAAATACTGGGTCTTAGTTGACTAATATAACAAAATTCCTTTTTATCATCTGCCTTAGTTAGGCATATTGTAGCCCGACGTAACACTGGGTGAGGGAGGAGCAACTCATCATTTGGCTACAAAAAGGAAGAAAATTTGTAATTTGCTTTTCCATTAAGGAGTATACCAACTGAGAACATGTAAACATTGAAATCTTGATCAAAACCACAGAAGTTTGCTTTAAAAATGGATTCCCTAGTCAAGGTTTGTGACCTTTACATGAGCAGCTTATTTCTTCACATGAAGGAAGTACAGATGAAATTTTTAAAGAGAGAATGCAACAGGATATTGCTGAAATATTAGCAATTTCCATTTGAAAAGACCATTTGCCTTCTAGCAAAGCAGAAACTTAGGGAAAATGCACTGCATAAACTGTTTCACCCTGGTCCTGCCTCAACCCAAACTCAAAAACTCGTCAACTTCCTGGAAGTACCAGCAGCAGTTCAACTCAACCCATTTTGTAGTTCCCTCAAATTCCAAAGCAGGTACTTCCAAAGTTATTCTATGGAATTAATTAGATTTCAATATTTAAATATAAATTTAAAAGTTTTAGACATATTATTTCATCATATTAATTGCAAAAAATAAACTGGGAACTTCAGAGGCAGGCAGACTATATGTTTCACAGACAGTATGTTTCTGGTTACCAGAACAGTAGCACCTAGGTAAAATATCTAAAGAGATGGTCAAATTCAGAATTGCATTTAGAAACACTTATGGACACTGAGAAGGAAAAACTAAACAGGGCGTGGGAGAGACAAACATGAAAGCCTCATACAGTTTAGAAAAACATTACAAGATGACCACATTTCTTCTACCCACTTTGTCTGTAGTGGCCAATGTTTTCACAGTTTCAAGTTTCCACATTCAGGAAAGAAAAAATTGCATAGAAAGGCTTCTGAGCCAGCTGTAGGGTCTTTGTTAGATCAGTTTCCAACATCAGAAACGACAGTCAGCTATGACTTGTTGACCAAAAAGACTTTTAATGGTCACAAGATTTTATTTGGTTTGGTTTGCTGGGGGAGGGGAACCCAAGGTGGGCAGGAGGAGGGGGTGTTGGAGGGGGTGTTTTGGGTTTTTCTGTTGTCATTGTTTGCTGTTTGTTTGTTTCTTCATAAATACACACGTCAGTGTTACAAGTCAAATGGCTGAAGCCTTCACTGAAGGTTCTGTGGTCCACACTGTTGAAAAACGATAGAATCAACTGGGTTGGAAAAGACCTCCCAAGATCAAGTCCAACCCCTGATCTAACACTGCCACGGTTACTAGACCATGGCACTAAGTGCCACATCCAGTCTCATCATAAAAACCTTCAGGGATGGTGAATCCATCACCTCCCTGGGCAGCCCATTCCAATGCCTGATCACTCCCTCTGTAAAACATTTCTTCCTAATATCCAACCTAAACCTCCCCTGGCACAGCTGAAGACTTCTGATGTCTCCCAGGTTCTTCTACATTTTTGTTTTCATTGCCAACTCAAGAACATAATTCTGCTCCAGGCAGTTTCAGGCCCCATAATAATCTTTATAAATTTCAACATGTCAGAGCCAGCTCTGACAAGGGTGTTTTTTGTAACACTCACCCTCCTGTTTCACTTGGATTTAAATCACAAAAGCTATCTGCAAACTATGTTAAAAAATATTAATATCTGAACACTACTGCAAATGAGGCTCTACAAAGAAGTCTTGGTACCAAGTCTTTTCTGAAGGTTAAGAAGGAGAAATTCTCTATAAGGAGACTATCTCTGCTAAAAACATATTAATGATGCATCTACATCAAGGGAAACTATTAAGATCCAAAAGAACTAAAACTCTAGAAGGTTTCGCAGTCCTTTTAGGAAGTGAGCCTCTGAAATCTTCCCAGCAGACTTCTTAAGAAGTCTTTCCTAAAACAGAAAAGTCCTATTCTGTTTTAATTCCTTTTGTTGCCTTTTTTCTGCTAACCTTTTCTGAGGCTGAACTTAAGGAGAGTCATAGTCTTCTTCCTAGGGTTAAGCAGCACTGATGCCAAAAAGCAATTTCTACATCTCTGACTGAAGGTTACTAAAATCCAGTTTCTTCAGGAAAGCAAAAAAAACTCAAAAAGGAAATAAATATCTAAATAGTACTCAAACATTTCTGACATTTTTCTTTTCCTTTGTAGGGAGATAGCAACATTCCACCTCCCAACAACAATCAACTGAAATATTTTCTAAGAATGACCTGTTCAGAAAGCTACAGTAAAAAAAAAATCAAAGAAAAGGCTATAAAACTGTCCGAATTTTCTCCAGGGTGGATGGTGCATGGAGGAGACAACAGAAATGAATAACTTATTAAAACAGAATGTTATGGAATAATTATGCAGAGGCTGTGTGTGTTTTGCCTCAAAGGCCTCATCTTTGAGGTAACTTCATTGCTACCTGCATGAGTTAACAATGTCTACTGATTGGACCACACAGGTGACAAATCTATGCCCCTTTCCTGAGTTAAGTGAAGATGGCCTATCCACCTGTAAGGCACAAGTGAGAGTGACTCAGTCTGGTGGCACCCCTCAAAGCTAAACCAGGCTTTGCTCAGCTACTAGGATTCATGAACAGAGAACACCATTAGGCTCTGAACTAGAAGAGGCCCCAAAGCCTATCACCAAGGTCTGGTACAACACGTGTCTCTACCTCTCAACACCTGCTGGGTTGCAACCAGAGCGGAGCTTCCCAGTGGCAGAACACAGAGGCCAATCCAGTCTTGCGCTTGACTAGGGAAGGGTTACAACCAACTAGCCCGTTGTCCAACTTTTGGTTAAAACAAAAGTTTATTTTGAAACACTTGAGTGTTCTAGCTTCCAAGTCCACTCCAGACTATGCAGAAGCAAACAGTGTTCACAGCAGGACTTTGCACCTAATGGAGAGAGTTTGCACCTCCCTGCTTTCAAATAACTCATTCTGCAAAAACCCAGCTGTTGCTCAATAAAGTTGTTCAACACTTAATTGTTGAAAAATCCTCTTACTTGAAGGCTTATCCCTATAAATGTGATTTTGAAGGCTAGTCTGAAACACAGACTTCAGCTGGGTGACAAATGTATCACAAAAGCACAGGTGGGACTAGGAATCAGATTACAGGCATCACTGATCTCCTCGCAGGCTGAAAAAAAACACCAGGCTGTTCGAGTGGCTGGCATACTGGAGAACATACTGAAGGCAAAAGACCTGTCACACACTGCAAACCAGCTTCACATTTCAACTGTACTGCAAACCGAAAGGGATCAATAAAACTTTTTGCTTGGGACAGCTTTGCTTCCCAACCACTTGTCAATGAAACATTATTTCCTAAATTTATCACAATGTTATTCAAATATATTTTCAGAAAGTTAACAGGAGCCACCTCTTTTTTTGAAACAAAAAAGGGCATTAGAGTAAATAATTAATTTTCTCTCAAGGTACTAATTTGAAAGTCAGGTCGAACGTCCCTACCAATTAGGCAAGGAAATCTATATTTCTAACAGTTATGCATAAAAACCGTAAATAAAACTAAGAGTAAAAGATGTAATTACAATCCCACATCCTGTCTCTGAAAACTGAATTCATCATGAAGAACCAAATTTTATAGCATCATAACCCTGACATTCCCAAGCTAAATCCTACTATGGTACTGGATTTTATTATTTTACGTGTATATACACACTCTGGCACAACCGTACACATCAGCACAAATATTATTTATATATGAATGTCAAAAAAGTACCTATTTGCCTTAAAATCTCTTATATAACCTAGTGAAAGATACTCAGATAAAATGTAGCTAGATAAGCATTGAGAAACACCAACTTTTTGGTTATTCAGCTTTGTAAATCTAAATTTGGTCAGTCTTTACATCTTCTTTTTATTAAAATTCAAGTATGTAGATGCAAATGACTTCCTCTCCTTTCTGCTATTTAATTTTTGTAAGAAAATGCACAGTTTGAAAGGGCATGTCTGTTATCCACTTGCCAGTACAACTGCTGCCTAAAAAAAACCCCATTTATTTTCCTCCCTTTTTCTGCTGACTACCACCTACTCAGAAGAAGCAACACTGTTATACTGCGAGCCCCAGCATCTCCCACCTCAGCGCATCCCTCGCGAACCTCTACAATCTAGGGAAAGGTGAGACGTCCATGATTAACTTACTGCACAAATCTTATGGGGAGCAACTCGGGGCACAAGGTAGGGAAGGTTCCGTCCATCTGCGGAACCTCAGCTATTCTGGCTTCTGTTCGACCACCCCCACCTCGGAGCAGAGCCCTTCTAACAGAAGGGGAAATAAAGGGGAAAGGCAAGCAGGCGGATAGAGGAGGGCTGAGGGCTCCCTGGCCCAGCTGCCCTGCACACAGCCCGAGCGAGGAGAAGAGTGCCAGGTAAAGTGGGTTTCCAAAAGGGAAAAGGCCTGGCGCCGCCATCTTAAGTGCGGGCGCAGCTCCTTCCCCGCCGGCCCGGCCATACAAAGGCGGGGGCACGTGACACCTGTCCAGTGCCCGCACTCAAGATGGCGGGCCGGGTCTTCTGCTTCTGCCCTCCCCGCCGCCCCCTGGTCCCTCCGCGCCTCCTTCTTCTCCCGAGTCTCCGTCCCTGCGGAGGCCGGCGTGGGCCCCACTTACTCCGGGGGATAGAGGCGCAGCTCCTCTATATCTCCCAGGAAGCCGAAGAGCGTCCGCATCTGCTCGCTGGTCACGGCCGAGGAGAGGTTGGTGACTTGGATAACGGACGTGGGGCCCAGGGGGAAGCCCAGCGGGACCCCGATCCCGCCGCTGTTCATCATGGCGGCGCTTCCCTGGCCGCTCCGCGCGCACCCGGGGGCGGGACCCGCCCACCGAGAGGGGCGCGCGCCGTCGGCCGGAGCGGCCCCGCGTGCGGGCGGGCCCTCTAGAGGCACACTCGGCTGCCTCCGGAGGAGCGCCCCGGGCGGAGGGCGGCCCCTGCCGGCGGGGCCTCCGGCTCGCACAGGGCGGGAAGAGCCCTTGCTTCCCGAGGAGCCGCTTTTCCCGAGGAGCCGCTTCCCACGGAGCCGGCTGGGCCACGGTGGGCAGGGCGGGGCCGGCTGGGCCGCGGGCCCCGCCCAGGAAGGGGCGCGGGCTGCGAGAGGCCGCCCGTCCCGCGAGCTCTTGCGCGCGCACGGCGGCCACTGCGCGCCGGGCCAGGGGCGGTGCCGAGACCCCGTGGCTATCGCGGGCCTCTCAGGGAGTGCCTGCTAGCGGCTAGGGGCGCTATGAGCACCGCCCGGGCCAATTTCCCATTTAAATGCTCTTTTGGTGGCCAAGTTCAATGAAAGAGTTTAATCCCCCTAGGGAATAAAACCTTGAAACACCCTGTGTCTAAAAATGAAGGGGTTGTAATAGATGGGTTGCTAATGCTTCTGTTATATCTTGACTGCAAATCTATCCCTAATCTAACCTGCACCTCGGGAAGTCCCCCATCATCCCCACATCACCATTGGCCAATCAGAGCTCAGATCAGTCCAACAGTTTAATTACCTAGGTAGCCTCATCTCCTCAGATGGTAAGATTGACGGAGAGATAGACAACAGGTTAGCAAAGGCATATAGTGCTTTTGGAAAACTCCAGAAAAGAGTATGGCATAATAAACACTTGAAGAAAAGCACCAAGATCAGTGTTTACAGAGCCATAGTGCTGTCTACTCTCTTATATGGCTCCGAATCATGGGTCATCTACCACCACCACCTGCGTCTCCTAGAACGCTTCCATCAACGCTGCCTCCGCACAGTCCTAAACATCCGCTGGTCAGACTATGTGACCAACACATCTGTTCTAGAGCAAGCAGCAGTCACAAGTATTGAGGCCATGTTACTGAGAACGCAGCTGCGATGGGCAGGGCACGTCTCCAGGATGAAGGACCACCGCATCCCTAAGATCCTGCTCTATGGTGAACTTGCCACTGGCTGCCGCATGAGAGGAGCCCCAAAGAAAAGATACAAGGACTCCCTGAAACAACATCTCAGCCTTGGCCATACTGATCAACATAACTGGTCTACTCTGGCCTCAAATCGGGAGGCCTGGAGACACACCATCTATAACGCAGCTGTCTCCTTTGAGAACACACGCAGGATCACCCTTGAGGAAAAAAGGCAACGCAGAAAGAACCGTGTATTGCAGAATACACCATCTAAGGAGTCTTTCTGCTGTGCCTTTTGCAATCGGATTTGTCTGTCACGTATTGGCCTCATAAGCCACCAGCGTGCCTGTAGCAAATGTGGATAGAGCCTTCCCAAATCTTCATTCGCGAAGCCCAGCCATGAAATTGACTTTACCTGGAGTTGTAGTTGAAGTTCTTGTGAAAATTAAATTGGCTGGAGAAAATGAGAGTGAGCACTTCGTGTGTCTGTGAGCACTATGAAGGATCAAACTGTTATCTTTCCTACATGGTACAGAGCTGTGCATCTTGGCACTGAAAAGTTTAAGGTTTCAGGCAGTTTGTAAGCCTTTCCAAAACCCGAACCTGAACTGAGAAGGGACTGAAGTGTTTTTGAGGTTATCTGGGCTGAAAAAATACTGCAAATTTGTGATACTTCCCTGAGCAAGTAGGTCTGTTGTTACAGAATGTCCATAGATAAGTCTGGGTATTGCTTCCTTTATTCAGAGATTTATTTTATGTAAAAATGCCTGTGAATATATTTAAGGTAGGACTTATTTCAAAATGATAATTGGTGCACTCATATTCTTCTTCTAAATTAAATCCATATTCAAACAGTAAAAGATTTAAAATCTAAGTTAAATCCTTTCAGCCATTCTGGTAGCTTCTAATTAGCCCAAGTTGAGAGACGTTTAACTGGAGAATTCCAGATCTTTTGTTATATATTGTGCAAAGTCAAACTCTGGTATGATTATTCTGTAGAGTTTTCTTACATTTTCACTAACTCACCTCTTTTAAAGATGGTTAGCAGAGGTAGAGAAGCTTTGAACATTGTTATGCTTTCTCTTTGCATCTCTCAGTAAAGGGTACCAAAACAATTAGCTCTAAAATTCACAAAGAAAAGCTCTGTGATGTTAGAACTGTCTGGGATACCATCCTTCAGGTAAAGCCCTTAATACTACATATGAAATTCTGAGCTCTTGATCTGCTTTTTGAAAGCAAAACAAGCAAAACACTGTTTAAATTTTCTACTTGTCAGTCCCCAAATGTAAAATGGTGAAGTCTTTAAATAAGAGCAACTACTAACCTTTTGTCTAAGTATTTCATGATTTTCCCACCAGGATTAAAAAGCATTTACTAGGAAATGTTAATTGCAAGTACCAGTAGAAAAATATTGGCAATTTAGAAGGAAGTTACAGTAAAAGCTGTTTTAGATGATCATGAGAAAAGTCTTTTTCCTTACAAGAAGTCACCTTTAGAGCAGACAGTGGGTGGTCTGATAGACACCTGTGTGGAACTTGCTGCGCTTCCATGCATAGAGAATGGAAATCATATGAGGTAAAATAAAGACATAAGCATTAGAAAGCTTTCTTTATCCTTCTTTAAATGGAACCTTAAAGATTTCAAAAAGAGCTAACAATTATTTGATAAAAATAAAATAGTTTTAAGTAATTTATGAGAAGTAAAATTTAACGTCAGATTTAACTAATCCTGCAGTATGGGTAAAGTTTGCCTGTGGAAATCCAAAGTCTTTGGATTTTGTTGCCTTAAGAGACCACAGAAAACAGGACTCTGAGCCAACTTAGTGTATAAGATAAAGAGAGTAGGTCCTTTAATTCCAGGTCTGAGGCCCACAGGAATACATATTGACGCACCTCTCGTGTCCAGGGGTTTCCACAATTTAAGGTGTTAACTCATCCAATCCCAGATTTGTCCTCCCCCCAGTACGCCCCTCTAGAAATTGAGGCAGGGGCTCTGGACCCCCTTTTCCTCAACCTCCTCTTCATCACAGCACATACAGTCCTTGGAGTCCCTCCAAACTCCTGGGTTTGAAGGTTGCTCTGCCTGTGTGATATCTTGTTGTCCAGGCCAGTGTGCAGACATACTTGAACAGAATGAAGGCCTACCTTGAGGGAAGTCTAAACAAGCTAATGGAATTTTGAGCGAGTGATATGGAATGGGGTAAAAGTATTGGGAAAGCGTGTAAACTACTGTGCTAAAGGCTGAGGGACATAATACAGCTACTTCTAAAATCTACAAAAAGCTAAAAATCCAAAAATCCATAGGCATCAGTCCCCCCTTTTAGAGGTTTGACAAAACTTCAATCTTTTCTAGCCTCTACCACTTATACTGAGAAAGTCTGAAGCAAGGAAAAGGTCCCCATGGCCAAGGAGAATCAGGTTAAAGGAACTGTTCACATGGAAAACGGCTGGACCTGATGGGATGTTCCTGTGAGTGTTGAGAAATCCAGTGAATGTTACTGTGAAACCACCACTAATTATCTTTGAAAGGTCATAGTGTTTGGGGAGCTGAACATCACATCTAGATTCCAGATGAGCAAGAAGGAGCACTGGTAAAACTACAGGCCAGGCACTTCAATCCCTGGGAAAGTGATGGAGCAAATCCTCCAGCCAGCCATTTTCAAACATGTTAAAGGACAAGAAGGAGACCAGGAGTTGTGAGGATGGATTTACAAAGAGAAAATTGTGCTACCTGTTGGTAGCCTTCTGCAGTGAAATGACTGGCTCCACACATGAGGGTAGAGCAGCTGGTACTGTTTACCTTGACTTTAGCAAGGCTTTTGTGACTTTGTCCCATGGCATCCCATAAAATATTTTTCTTTGCTCTTTCAGCAGCAGTATGAGAATGCCACTAAAAGCCTGTATAGCCTGTGCTATGTAAGTTTTACTTCCATACACAGTAACTTTACACCACCTGCCCCATCATACAACCAAAATTCCAATATTTTGCATAGATTAGTGATGCAGAACACAGGAAACGAGTATTTCTTTTACAACATGAATGTCCCTTTTCTTGTGAATTAATCAAGAAGAATAATCTTCAAATGCCAGTCTCCTCCTACTACTCACAGTAGACTGACTGTTCAAATTGACTGCTGATAATACTTCTATTTTCTTCAGTTTTGCCCAAACACATGTTCCAGGTTGGGATATTCTTCTGCCTCTCATAATCAGTCAAGAATTTTACTCCATGTGTAATTTCATGCACAGATGCTTGCCAAGTTCTGCTCATGGCCAAATTCTCAGTTCTGATAGTATGAATTGTTAGTAGCCAGAGCAGACAGTTAACATGAAATCTGAAATCAAGACTATGTGTTTTACCTATAGTTATTTCAACATATTTTTTTCTACAATAAAACTGCATGTGAAAGTAGGATTTTTGAAATATCTAATGCAATTCAGACTCACACCTTAGTTTAAACTTGAACTAACTTTCAAATACAGACAAATTGAAAAATGTTAACTTTGTAGCATTTCACAGACAATAGCTTTTATTCTAAACTCCAGCAGATCTACAGCGCTTCCCAAATGCTAGAAGTTGCTTTCACCCCCTTTCCATTGTTATACCGTTCAGATTTATCAGGTAGCTGCTATCTGTTTTGTATACACCTTAGTATAATTTTTGGTTTTTTTTTCAAGAAGACTGCCGTGTAGAACTGAGAAAATATCTTACAGAACTCTTAATGCTGCGAAGTAATCCCCAATCCACCACAGCTCAAAAATTACATAAAATGCATTTTAAAAGAACTATTTTTCACAAAATATAAGACCAAATTTATATACCTACCTAGGAAAAATTATAAAAATATTTTTCCCAGATAATTTTTCCTCATGGAGTAACTATTTTCCCCAAATGACAGTTGATCTAGAAATCTTAAAATCCTCCTTATATTGAGATTAACAGATGAACTATACATAGTCAATGTAAGTAGCTGAAATCCTTTCAAACCTCCTGCCTCTGATGGCAGTCAGGAGTACAAACTGGCATTGGTAAACTGTGAGATTTCTACATCTGCTTTTTATCTGTTTTGCGGCAAACACATGAAAAAAAATTAGTATTGTTATGTTGAGCATAGCAGTATCTGTTAGAAGAGTTGTATTAGCAGGTATATGAGTTTTACAATTAAATTCTTCTCCCCATAAAATTGCTTAATTCAAAAATGGAGTAGCTTTTCTCAACTTACAATTATTTTTAAACTTACCTCAAAGTAAAATGAGAGACTCAGCTGTCAACCTGAGACAGTATTTTTATCTCTGAATCTCCAAGCACACATTAACAGAGGAAGAACATCACTACCATTTGGAGACTGGAAAAATGCACTAAAGTGGGTAAAATCTGAGAATCTTAATCTGAGAACAGATTCTGCATCCAATTACTGTTTCAGGGAAGCATTTCTTCAGTCATTTATGAAATCTAATATCTGTTTTCCAGATAACACTATTTATAGAAGCATTTAATTTTTCAGAAAATCCTGTGTTAAGCTGTATGAAAGTCTACATATCAGTAGATAAACTGTTTTTTGATATATTTTTAAAATTAGAATCTGTGAATATGTATGTGTAGGGAAAGGAAAAGATGATGTAAAAATTCAGCTTTTAATTTATTTATTTTTTCAATTAATTTGAGTGTCTGCTGAGAAATCTCATACTTGATGTTTTTCTGGCAGGACATGCCATTGCAACTGTTCGGATAGGTGCCCACTATTTCTGGAGGGAAGAAAGCATCTTTTTTCTTTGGTGTGAGCTTATCCTGCTAGGAGATGCGGCATGTCATTCTACATAAGGGGAAGATGTTTTTAAACCTCAAAAAACCTTATCTGAACAAGATTATTAAAAGGAGTTGAATAGAAAATTCTAGAATTCACTTGGAAGAACCTCCTCTCCTTCGCAGCCAGTGTTTGTAGGAGCAGGAAAAAAAGTTTGCTTCGTAGCATAAAAATACAGTAGAACCTTTATAATTGTGAAATTTGAAAACATACCTGAGTATAAAACTCTGTGAAGATAAACTCTAATGCTTTATTTACAATTTCTATTTGAAAGTGGCATAAAATAGGCATGATTTGAGTTCAGTAAGTACTATGGCTGAAAAAAATTTTTGGTGTCTTAAGATGTCTTAAAATATAAGCACATCATGATTAATTCTATAATAGATTAATTACAATCTACAATTAAAAGAACACCACACACTGCTTACTGCAGAGCCAGAAAATCACTCCGTGTATTTTTATAGCTTTTAAAATTAAAATGCAGCAGAAAAAAAAATTATTCAGAGATTTTATCTGTTTGGAGGCTTTTCAGCATGGTTTCTAACCTTTGCATGCATCAACTCCAACCTCATCAGTCACTTCTCATTACAGTTAGCAAATGAGACAATTTTACATAATTATTGCATTTTTCTCAGGACTTAGTATTATGTCAGCTAACCAGCTGTTACAATCTATTTCAATATTTATTAGTAAACCTCAGTTTCTCTGCAGCAAAGCCATGGCTTTCAACTGAAGTAGTTTTTGGCAGCAACATTGTCAGCAAAAATACCTTTTCCATATTCAAAACCAGTTGTTGATTATTCTACTGTGAGTGGAAGTTTTTCCAGACAAAAACGAATCAAATATGCTAAAATGTTGATGTTAGGAGCCTTGGCACAATACTTTCGAATCCTCTATTTTGCCAGTGCATACTTATAATTCAGTAGAAAGCTTTTTCCCCTTTTTGTTGGTTGGTTGTATTTTTTTTCTTTCTCCAGAGTTTCTTCCACAAATCATCAACATTAGCAGTTAAATGAAAATTTCTCTGCAGAGCATCTGGTTCATCTGCTACCAGTTTCTCTATTAAGACAGTCCTTGAAAAGTTTGTTCAGAGTGGTATTTTCGTATCTGGCAAACAAGAGTGAATATTCTGCCACAGGTTTTTTTCATTAATTTGGACAATCCTGAAGCATAAACAGTTCAGCCATTTGCAGTGTCCAACCATGCCTCATGAAATGGATGCAGTGCAGAGCCATATTTCCCTCTGTGTTATGCAGCTGCAAAAATAGATGTTACAGGCTCCTGTGATCACAAATTTAATTCCCAGTGCTCTGAGGTTCAGGACATGCAGAAAAGCTTGTCATTTCAGCAAGATGACCTTTTAAGGAAATTGTTCTTGGCCATCTCAGGAACCTTGCTAGCACAGTCACATGTTCTCTTGCATGCTCTTACTGCCTCTCTAAAACTTTTAATCAGGTATTCATATAAATATGAGGGGCTGAAAATATCAGCCATTACAAGCTACATGTTAACTGAATCTTTCACAGCTCAATAATATTTATCCATAATTGCAACTTGCTTTTGACAGGCACAAAATCCTGGGCGGGGTATTTCTGATGTAGTCTAAAATACTGGTTGTAGTGCTCATCTTATGTTTTTCTTTAGGCCAAACAGCTGCTACTTTTTCCATGCTTATTGCTTAATCCTTAATACAAAGCAATAGTTCAAATTGCAGTATGGAAATACAATCACAGACAGTATCAGGAAAAGCCAATACAAGTAAGCAAAGAGCTGAAAATCCGGAAATGCAACAGTGAAGAAGGTCTGAACTACCAGGAGGGGTGATGGCTGCCTGTACTTGAAATGAGGCCCTTAGAACGCGGTAGAAGGGAGTCTGGAAACCCTCCAAGAAACTTTAGGGTACCTGCTGCTGCCAGGGCTGTGAGCCTGTGGCAGCTCTGGCAGCTTCTAGCGGGTGTAGTCAGGAGCTCTTGACGCAGGGTACCCGGAGCCTTTGTTGCAGCTGCCCCTGGCTTGGGGGAGAGGGTGATGCTTCCACCCATTAGTTAGTGCTAGGGAGAGGCCTGTGTCAGAGCTTGTTGGATCAGAGGGAGTACCTGAGGCTTCTCCTGGACCTTACCTGCAGGTGCTGTGTTGCTAAGCAGAGGAGTTACGGAAGTCAGCAACTTGTGCAGCTCAGGGAGAGACAGGATCTCCCCAGACCCTACCCTTCTAGAGCCCTGGACCCCCATCATGATGCAGACTGGGACAGTCTGTCACTAGCAGAACCACAAGTGGAATACCACTGGTAACATTTGGTGTAGCAGAGCCCCAGTTTCAACGTAGTCTCATAGATGCTGCAATAAAATCTTCTGCACACAATCCAAAACTGAATTTAATCTGAGGCGACGGAAATACTACAACAGAAGTACACCTTCTCTTTGAAAAAGTGCCTTCAGTCATAACAGCACAAGTTGGATCCAGCATTCTTAGGTGCTTGATGAAAAAGTAAAACATTAAGTTATGAAATAATGTCCAAGCAGGGAGTAGATATAGAAAACCTAAATAAGGCAGGGCCTAATATTCCAGGGTCATCAGGGCTGTAACCTGTTATAGTTAAAATCAGTTTTCTGCATAGAGAAGTAGGAAGTCAAGCATGGTAGTAGTATGCCAGATCCACATATA